GGGCCCCAAAGGGAACATTTACAAATATTTTAAAATTCTTATCCTTTGATGACATGACAAGTATTGTATTTCACTTAGTTTACATGCTGATTTCCACATCACATCTAAACAATAAAATAAAGCTACCAGTACCTATGATATAACTCAGGTGACCGCTAAGGCCCTTGGGCCTCTTGTTTATTAATTTTTAAGAATAATGCCTTCTACTCCACATCAAGGTAAAAAACTTATTAGATTTGTACTTTTTGTAAAGTAATATCCGGAGTCAGATTGATTTATGTGAGACTTGTTACAAGGCAACTCTGTTGTATAATTAATCAATTCCATTCTTGTCCGTTTGTCTCCTGTAAAAACTTACACACATCGATTGTCAAAGAGAAGTGGGGAGATGACGCATCTAGAGGATAATACTTTCCCATATATAGATTGTACAGTATAAACAATTGTAGCCTGCCGAGGGCTACACACAACACAATGACACACCAGGTTTTAGTACAGGTAGTGATAGCGTCAGTGGTCACTGATCAGTCGGTCACTGTGCTGTTATTGTTCTAAGTATACCAGGAAGTGGTGCGGAATGAACCACATTTCTACAACTTTAATTTGGTAAGGATGATGAGGTCTTATAAGTTTGGTGTAACCAGTTTTACTGCTTATATATGCAGATCTATATAATGAGGTGAGATGGAATGTATACAATTATCTTTGTCTTTAACTCTATCATTTTAGGGAATATAGAACAATAGTCTCATTATAGGTATAATTAGCACTAACATCATACTTTGTTGGGGTTCGAACAGTAATAATGTTACATACTTGAAATGGTTGCAATGCTTTTGTCCATCTGAATATTGCAAGCTAGGTAAAGCTGTGATTGACAGTGACATTCCAAGGGAATGACAAGATGTTACGAATGTGATCTTTATTTTATCGCACTGAAGTGTCCCTTTGAAGCCATTTTCTACTAAGAGAGCAAAGATTAGATCTTCTAGTTTCTTGCCATTTTGCATGCAATTTGTTATTTAGCTTCTTTCTTCATAACAGGTACATTCTTGTAAAATTTATACGAGATAAATTATAGCCCAAGATAAGCACAATATAGCTCAGCAGCAGGTGGGTACAGTTCCACAAGCCCAATGCAAGAAACTCTGACTACCGGTTGTAAATCTGTGTCAGGGCTAGTGAAAATATCCAATATTGACCATGAAATTAAAGGTTTGGCCAGTCGGATTGTCAAAATCTGCCATTGGTATAGTATTTTCAATATGAAAGTGTATACCCTTGAGGGGAGAGCCTGAATCTATTCTTTTAATGGATTTATTTTAATGATGGCACAGTATGTTATGACTGGTTAAATATTTACATAATGATCAGCAAATTTTCAATCAAATTTCATTAAACTTGCTCCCTCATTGTTAACACTTTTAGTCTACACTACTCTTTTGCTCACCTTCCATCAGTGCCACATAAGATTTAGTAGATATGTACACCATACTATATTAACATCAAACAAACAGTTTGACTCCCACAATGATGGTGGGCAATAGTTATTCCGTCTTTTCGTATTGCAGTTATCTGCTCTTGTGAGCAGGTATTGATTGTTATGTCATTTGTTTGTGAGAGTAACGTCATAATTTTTTGAGAAAACAACGTAATTTTCTCACACAAACTAATGACGTACCAATCAATACCTGCTCACAAGAGCAGATAACTCTGCAATATGAAAAGACGGAATATACTGTTTGCAGTAAACTTTATTTAGCCTTATATTAATGACGTTATTGTATAGTACCCTGGTTAGCCTCTTGTTGGTATTTACCTTGTAACATTCCAGTGACGTTGCAGGTCCCAGATCCTGAATATCATATTATAATCATCAAGTACGTATCATTAAACTGTTTTGTTTGTCTACAGAACATTGAGTGTCGACAAACACGACATGGCCGAAACACTCTGAAACTATTTGAAGACTATGTGAAGAGGGCTGGGAACTCTGTAGCGAAACTGAAGAAGTCTTTGGAGAGTATGGAGCGCCCTGATGCATTGGATGTTCTGCTGGATGCAATTCCAGGTAAAGATTTTTCCTCTTTAGCTCACCTGGCTCAAAGTTCTTTCGAACTTACCTATGCTGTAGCCAGTGTTTTCTGTCATCTTTTCAAGAAATGAGGCCTTGAGTATAAATATTTAATTATATAGTCTGTGGCTTGCTTGATCGAGTGAAAGGGTATTAAGTTGATCTAATGAATTACTTTCACCTACATTAAATGTCAATCACAGTTATGGAATCTTATCAACCATAGAGCAAAGAATTTTGATAATTTGCCTGTAGTTTGAAGTAGTAAAAAGCTACTCAATTCAAGGTTGTGCATGTAAATAGTAATTGTATAATCTTTTAATTAGTACTGAATTCAGCCTTGATTTTACACACAATTAGTTTTGTTTTTACATAAAATGTTGTGTCAACTTTGCCGGTACATCATGCTAAAACCTGCAAAACATTACACCATTGTGAAAATGACCTTGTATAAAATATGTTTTGCAGGATTATTCTAGATCTTTTTAGGTCACCTGAGCTTTAGCTCAAGTGACCTATTGCTATCCGTTTTCGTCCGTCGTCGTCCGTCGTCCGTCGTCCGTCGTCCGTCGTACGTCGTCCGTCGTCCGTCGTCCGTCGTCCGTCGTCCGTTAACATTTTACATTTCAAACTTAAAGTCAAGTTCTGCTGGGCCGATTGAACTGAAAGTTGATAGGAATGATCGCCTCATGGTCCTGACAAAGTGTTGTTATTTTTCGGGTCGATCAGAAATCCAATATGGCCGCCACGGCCACCATTTTGAAAACCTATTTCAAACTTAAAGTCAAGTTCTGCTGGACCGATTGAACTGAAAGTTGGTAGGAATGATCGCCTCATGGTCCTGACAAAGTGTTGTTATTTTTTGGGTCGATCAGAAATCCAATATGGCCACCACGGCCGCCATTTTGAAAACCTATTTCAAACTTAAAGTCAAGTTCTGCTGGACCGATTGAACTTAAAGTTTGTAGGAATGATCGACTCATGGTCCTGACAAAGTGTTGTTATTTTTCAGGTCAATCATAAATCCAATATGGCCGCCACGGCCACCATTTTGAAAACATATTTCAAACTTAAAGTCAAGTTCTGCTAGGCCGATTGAACTGAAACTTTGTAGGAATGATTGACTCATGGTCCTGACAAAGTGTTGTTATTTTTCAGGTCGATCAGAAATCCAATATGGCCACCACAGCTGCCATTTTGGTAAACTATTTCAAACTTAAAGTAAAGATCTACTTGGCCGATTGAACTGAAACTTTGTAGGAATGATCGAATCATGGTCCTGACAAAGTGTTGTTATTTTTCGGGTCAATCAGAAATACAATTTGGCTGCCATGGCCGCTATTTTGCTACTAAGTTCTAATAGGCCGATCTCACTTAAAATTGGTCTAGGAATGATCAGCTCATGGTCCTGACAAAGTTAAGTTAACATTATACTATTTTTTACTCAAATTGGTACATATTTCAACAACAAAAATAAATACTATAGACTCAGGTGACCGTTAAGGCCCATGGGCCTCTTGTTATAACTAGTCGAGTAAAATGTCTTAAGATTAAAGTTTTTTTGTTTTATTTGAGAATCAGACCTGGGATCTGTACGAGGCAACATTTCTTATAGATTTCTGCTTTTTCAACAGAAATTGAACGAAAGTATACTGCTGCCATGAGAAACAACAACAGGAGGGTGAAAATCGAGCCACGTGAAAACTCTTGCACGTTTTCCTCAGGATGTTGTACCGGGAGCTGTGGAGGCTCCTCCGTAGCCAACTCAGGGATTTCCCAGCACCACCACAACATTAGCGTGTGTCCGAGTCAGTACAACCACTATAACTCGCAGCGCTGCCCTGACATATCTTCTCACTCCATACACGTCACTAAGGAACTCAACACGATGCCTCATAGCTACCAGTCATACAACTCATCAACCGCCAGCGTACCTCACTCAGCGGTTCATCAACAGCATACCACGTCTCCGTACATGACATCATACACCAGCTCAAGTGAGACAGATGAGAGTATGGAGGTAAACATTGACGTGGCAGATCGCTACCTAGGAGACAACATTCCGATTGACAATGAATCCGAATCAAATTCGATGCCTTGGCCCCGAGACGATAAGGCTCCTCTACCAAGAACCATATTCAAGGCCATAAATTACCTTCCCTCCCTAAGTCGAGTGCCTCCTTTACTCAACTATAACGACATGCATGTTGGTAACGAGGAGGTGGTGGAGACCTCAGAACGCATGGCAGTACATCCTTCAGCTCCCTTTGGTCGACAAGTGTCAGAGGAAATGAATACTAATCAACCTTTAGTTGATCCAAAGGGAATGCCAGCACCCGCTAATGCCAACTTAGGATTGAATTTACATGTTCGGCCAAAGGAAGGGCAGAAAGCACCTGTGGACAAAAAGAAATTCTGTAGTCCAAGTCCAACTACTGTTAATCCCCTTGCTAAACTTCAACAATTTACAAACTCTCAATCCTACATGCCTAATGAGGAATACAATTCCATCATGGCTGCTAAAAATCGTGAAGAGATGCTGTATAACCGCAGCAATTTGGAGGAGGTTCAATGTCGCCTTCGTGGCGGAAGTGATCAGGGTGTAGGTCACAGGGAACCACAGACAGAAGAGGACTTCCGAATGATATTCAATTTTAATGCAGGTTTCAGAAATCATCGAGCTATGCTGGAACAGCACCAGCAAATTCAAAATCAACGCATTATGAAGGACAAACCTGCTATAAATAAAGAAATTCCGAAAACTTTCCCACGGTCCAAATCCATGATGCAATGCACATCAACGGTAGGAGGAGCACAAGGCAACAGGACAGCAGAGTGTGTGTCAGGGCTGACAAAGTCAGTGTCTATGCCAGACGACATGAAACCTGTGGAGTATCAGAGAAAAAGTAGGTATTCTTATATTGTGTTCAGTAACAGAGAAAAATATTATTGTTATAGAAAAGGGTGTTCTGTATCGAAGAAAACGTAGTGTAGGTCTTGTTAGAGTTAGGTGTGCTCAGTTCCTGAGACAAAGTAGATCTTGTTGCAGTAAAATGTGCTTGCCGTTCAGTTCCTGAAACAAAGTAGTGCTTATTACAGTAATAAGCCCATCTCTCCTAGTGGTGAGGTATAAATCAAGTGACAGAAACCTGAGGAATGAAATATTGAAGAAAACCCCATGTTTACTAAGACTCGTCTCAATCACATTTATACTTTGTTCATTGTGAGTTGTTTAAGCTAGAATGTGAAATATAAATTTTCTATGTGTTTTATGCGTTACTGCTTATGATTTTGATGTTATATAGCAGTATATGATAGAAAGGTTACCATATGAGTATGACCTCAAATTCCCCATTGTGGGACCCTCAATATCTTCACCAGTGTCATTTGTTGTACCCACGGTAATGATCTGTATTATGTTGTAGACTTCTGGCATATCAAGGTGTTTGTGACCTACTCTAACGACAGTAAGCGCCACATCCAGAGAGTGCTCAACCTGTGTCGCTGTATGGAGAAGAACGGTTTCACTTGTTGTATGGATGTTTATGACCATAAGATGGACAGCCACAACAAACTAGGATGGGTTAACCAACGCTTCTCCGAGGTCAGTATACAGCACCTGTCTATACTGATGTTTATCACCTGGTTATACTGACCATTCTAAATTACAATACGAGTAAATGATATTGGTTGATATACAATGCAGCACCCGTATACTGACCATTCTAAATTACGATACCAGTAAATGATATTGGTTGATATACAATGCAGCACCTGTATAAACTGACCAATCTAAATTACGATACAAGTAAATGGTATTGGTTGATATACAATGTGGCACCTGGTTATACTGACCATTCTAAATTACGATACAAGTAAATGGTATTGGTTGATATACAATGCAGCACCTGTATATACTGACCATTCTAACTTACGATACAAGTAAATGATATTATAAGGTCCCCGTATCGGAGATACAGGTACCCTATAGTAATCACTCTGTCTGTCTGTCTGTCTGTCCAACCACAAATTTTGTTCCTGGCTGATAACTTTGGTATTTATTGACCGATGTACATGAAACTTGGTCAAGATGTTAACTTCATAAAAATACACATTGAGGTAAAAAGTCAAGGTCAGAGGTCAAGGTCATTAGGTTCAAAGGTCAAGGTCAAATTTTACTTCTTTTCACTGATGAACATGTTGATATGACATTATGAAGCAAAGTTGATCAGAATTAAACAAGGAGTCAACTGACCAAAGGTCAAGGTCATCGGGTCAGGGGTCAAGGTCAAATTTTGTAGCTTTTCACTAGTGAACATTTCGCTATGACATTAAAAAAGCAAAGTTGTTTGGAATTAAACAAAGAGACACTGAGGTAAAAAGTTGAGGTCAAAGGTCAAGGTCATGAGATTCAAAGGTCAAGGACAAATTTTGCATCTTTTCACTGATGAACATTTTGTTTTGACATGATGAAGCAATGTTGCTCAGAATTAAACAAGGAGTCAATTGACCAAAGGTCAAGGTCACTTGGTCAAAGGTCAAGGTTAAAATTTGGACCTTTTCCCTGATGAACATTTTGTTATGATATTAAGAAGCAAAGTTGGTCGGAATTAAAGAATAAGTCAACTGACCAAAGATCAGGGTCACTGGGTTAATGGTCAAGGTCATTTGGGTCCAAAGGTCAAAGACAAAGGGGATCTCTGAATTTGACCCTGGCTCTTGATGGAGAAGGTATAGAAGGTGAAATAAAACAAATCAAAGCTAACAAATGAGTATTGCACCGGTATTTACATTTCTGTTAGCCCAGCAAATATGGAAGTGGAAGGAAACACATCACATCATAGTACACGTAAAATGTATACTTTGCTTCCTTGCGATTCTTTTTGAAGTCCAAATGGCAAACGTCAAGCTCAGCTATATGGGCAGATTGCTTATTGATGATTATGGGGGATATAATTGCCACAAGACGGGGCCCTTACTGACCTGTCAGTGTTCTAGTTCAATTATAGCCTTTGGCTGAGGTGGATACCTTGATTTATCGACCCAAGATAAGATATATTGACTGAGGGTCGATAAATACAGGAATTGACCGAAGTTAAAGGCTACAATTGTTTTATTATTTTACAAAACAGTTATGTAAGCAAACTAAAAAAAAACACAACAAAAAGCTTCAGAAGTGGGACGGTGTATTGTTTGGAGACACGTCATAATTCTATTTTTAGAAACACCCAGTCCTTCAACAAAAATCACGCGCTCCAAGTCAATATCGGTTTTTATTGGTGGACACGTGATGCACTCCTGGCCAATCACTTGTCGGGAATAATATGAAAAAATAATAATGGTTGATATACAATGCAGCACCCGTATACTGACCATTCTAACTTACGATACAAGTAAATGGTTTTAGTTGATATACAATGCAGCACCTGCCAACATCAACCATTATTATACTTAACAAATGGATAATTGGTCAACTATTTATGTGAATATTAGATGGCACAACCTTTTGCTAAATCCTCATTGGTTAGATCATTATCACATGGAGCTAGGTGATTTGTGTGATATTGACTCAGTGTTACTATTTTTAGAAACAGCAGGTCAATATTGTCAATATGACGTCAATTGTAGCATCACAATGCTCTTTGTCAAATGCACTACTTTTCTCCTCACAGTTTTCATATGTTTGATTTAGTTTAATGATAAAAATAATGTGAATATCTAAAATGTATGGTTGAGTCTACTAAAGTTACCTTGGGATGAAAGGGTTAAGGAATTTGTGTCGGTCAATATAACTTTCTCAGGTCCATGTATAACCACATATTCACCTCAGCAAATTAGTAAAACAGTAATGGTATAATCTGAGGCGAAGTTTCCTGGTACACATATTGTTGTCAGACTGTCAAAATTTCAAGCATATTGACTTTTATTTTATTTCTAATTATTTTTTTTAGTTCCAAACAGACTATCAGTACTGTATGTCTGTATTTCATTATGTCAATATATTTCAGGCTGACTTTGTACTGGTATGTGTATCCCCTAACTACCTGACAGAGGCTACTTGTATGGCGGAAAACAACGAGAGTGCCCTACATACTGCGTATGTCTATCAACTCATGGAGAGTGAGATTCAAAATGGTGGTGCTGAAATAGAAACCAGGTTTATCCCGATCATGTTTGACGGGTCACGGCCCGAGGACATTCCTAAGCTGATGCACCACAGACTTAGTTATCATTGGCCCAAACAGTACAGGGATCTGCTGTGGTACCTCACCAAGCCGGAGACACGCACGAAGACCAAAGCTAATAACTATGTAGAGCAATGTCCCAGATCTCCCAAGTCTCCGAACATCCCAACATGAAGAGCCTAGTCCGGTCACCTTGCTTTCTGTGTATATGTAGGTGACATTGTAATAAGTCTGTCAAACAACACACTTAGTGTGTCGAACATTGTACTTAACACAAGGAGTAATGTGAATAATGTATAGAATAGTGTCTCAACTATGTGGAACATTATGAATGTGAAACAGTGTCAAAAAGAATTTAAAAGATGTACAAAAATAGGTGGATTTGTATTCCAAATTCAATAGTATATAAAACTATGTGGAGCAATATGGATGTTCACAGTATGTGGAGTGACATCTTATGTTCTCTGTGACAGAATGTTAATTACATTTGAACTTTCCTAATGAGGGGGATTTCTTACAATGGTGAATATTTGTACACAGTAGTTCCGCTATGAAGGGCAGAATTAACGTAGAGTATTTCCAGTGAAGAGTTAATATTTGAATAGATCAAAATTCACTGTAGTAGGATATTGAATAGTGCCATATGTTTGTGGAGCAATGTGGAACATTGTTGTTAGTATGCGAAACAATGTGGAACATTATTGTTAGTTTGTGGAACAATGTGAAACAATGTGGAACATTGCTGTTCGTGTGTGGAACAATGTAGTAAAATTTGCATAACTCATCAACAACAGTTATCTACTTCGTGTTCAGGTTTTTATGAAAAGAAACTTTTAAGGGGTATACATATAGATTGGGACCAAATCGTCTTCAATTTAATTTATTTAAGTATGGGTTGTCATGGTTTTGTTACAAAAACAAGATGGTAAAATGTCCAAATCATGTTTGTTGGTTTCTATCACCTGTGACTTTGACAGACATTGTATTTTTTCACTAAGGAAAATGTTCTAGCTATGTGGTAATAACAGATATTTCCTACATTTTATATCAATATTGCAACTATGTAACTGATGCTCAATCTGTACTACATGTACCAGTTTATTCTGCTGTTACTGGGCGTTTTACTTGTGTTTAGAATTAAGTGTGTTTCATGCAAAACATTTAATAGAACTGCTCATATTGGACATGGGAGTTCCTAAACTCATTGCTTGACATGTGAGCCAGGATTTCCTTAGCTCATTGGACACATAAACTGGTATCCTAAGCTCACTGATAAACATGTCAGCCAGGGCACATATTCATGAAACCCTTCTCATGCTCAAACTCAGATTTTGCTCTCAAGCCAAATTTCTTTTTCTGGTGATAGATTGATAAAAACGTATATTTTGTCAATGATTTTGAAGAGAATTAGGGCCAAATAATGTTTTTGTGATAAAACTTCACTTTTTTACGCCCGTAAAATTTGACTGGAGTATTATGGTGTGGCGTCGTCCGTCCACCGTAAACTTTTGTTTGTCTGGCAATCTCCTCCTACAATTTTTCGATGGATGTATATTTACTCTTATTTACCGTGTAACATGATTCTAATCCAGTTGTAATAAAGAAGGTCTGAGCACAATATTCACGCTTGAGCACGAGAATAGTTACATGAATATGAGCCCAGGTGTTTCTCAGCTCACTGACATAGTAAGTCAGTGGCTTATCAACTCACTGATACTGTACTTATATGTATTCAAGCCAGGAGTTTCTAAGCTGACTGACAGCTGAATTCTCACCAAAATGAAACTGGATTAAAATTAAAAATCATTGCAGAAATGTCTATAACTACATCTATATCTTACCAACAAGGATCAAACCAGTAAAATCAGTCCTAGAATAATTATATTACATATATTGTTAACATTATCATAGATTATTTGTTAGAATAGATGTCATTACTGTTGATATTTTATTGGATTTTATTGATTGTTTAAGCTGTCTGCTGATATTTATATAACCTTCATTGTGATATATTGGAGGACAACATTGTGATGTGTCATTGTACCATACCACCTAGTGAGTGTTTGGGACTTGTGTTTCACTTACCCAGATCTATTTAGTATCTATAAACTGCTGCTTGTCTTAATTGAGTGCAGCAATCAACTTTTGTCGATACAGTTGCATGTAAATATTGGTTGTACAGTCGAATATAATACAGTATATATATATATTACTGTAAAAGTACATATTTTAGTTGACAAACATTTAAGCATATTTTCGAATTTTGAAAAGATTAGCGTATCGATAAAGTTGCAACGGAAACATTATACAGATACTTAAATTAGCGTAATGTGTCTAGGGCGAAAAATTGCTGAAATTATGCCGCTAAAATATGTCCATTTATAGTATAAATCCCATGATGGATTGGAGGTTATCTCATTCACCCCTGAAGACACATTTGAACTCTTCGAATTCAAAGGTTGAAAGAGTTCATTATGAATTTTCAGGGGTGAATCAAGTTTTACTTAGGGGGGTGGGGTCTACACAAAAGGGACAAATGCCCATGTATCTCCCATGTCTACATAATAATTGACTCATCTCCTATTTCTTACCTATGATTTGGTAAAAACTGGTACTTGAATTTACAGTAATAATTTCCATAGGTGTAATAGATAATATGCAATGCGACCAAGAACATATTAGAAAAGAGTGGAAAAGTATGGTATGGCCACGGACTTAGATAATCTAATTCCGTGGGTATGGCATCATGGAGGGGAATGTACAATGAAGGAGTGTCATCAATGAATGAATGTATAGACTAACCCTGTCTCGTCTAACCTTCACTGTGTTACAGAAAAGTGATGGAAACTGGATGCACTTACTTGTTTATTTCTATAGCAAATGTTTGTTTTGGTGAGTAAACATGCTTGTTTTTGTGAGTATACATGTGTTTGTTTTTGTGAGTATACATGTGTTTGATTTTGTGAGTATACATGTACATGTGTTTGTTAGGATACATGTATTTTTTATGAGGATACATGTGTTTGTTAGGATGCATGTATTTTTTATGAGGATACATGTTTGTTGAGGAACCTGTCTTTGTTTCAGTGAGTATACGTGTATTTTTTATGAGGATACATGTTTGTTGAGTAACCTGTCTTTGTTTCAGTGAGTATACATGGATTTTTTATGAGGATACATGTTTGTTGAGGAACCTGTCTTTGTTTCAGTGAGTATACATGCACAAATGTTATTGTATAAAACATTTAATACACGTGATAGAAATTGAAGCCAATACTCCACATTGAAAACCTTAAACATACAAGTGTTTTGTGTGGAAGTAGGTGGACCTGTTCAGAAATGTGTGTATCTAGTCTTGAGAATAAAAATGGTGAAGAATATGTAATACATTACAGAAAATGAGTTTTTGATCAATTTTAGCTGAAAAATACAATTGATTTCATTCTTATTCAATATACATGTAATATAGAATTGTTGAACTTGTATCAGAATTTGTATACGATGTTTACTGTCTACTTGTAATCTAAGTGGTTCACACATGGTACCAGCTGTCTACATTTTATCTAAGTGGTTCACACATGGTACCAGCTGTCTACATTTTATCTAAGTGGTTCACACATGGTACCAGCTGTCTACTTTTTATCTAAGTGGTTCACACATGGTACCAGCTGTCTACTTGTAATCTAAGTGGTTCACACATGGTACCAGCTGTCTACATTTTGTCCAAGTGGTTCACACATGGTACCAGCTGTCTACATTTTATCCAAGTGGTTCACACATGGTACCAGCTGTCTACATTTTATCCAAGTGGTTCGCACATGGTACCAGCTGTCTACATTTTATCTAAGTGGTTCACACATGGTACCAGCCGTCTACATTTTATCTAAGTGGTTCACACATGGTTCAAACTGTCGGACTATCCAATCAAATGTTGTAAAAATCTATATTTAATGATTGTTATTTTGGTGGTTAAGTTATTATAGCACAATTTGTCCATTTATGTAAAGCAATAACTAGAAATGCATGTTTTTTTCTAACTAAATTTGCTCAAGGAATGAGTTGGTAAATTAGTTTACGATTGCTTTGATAAATCTGGTATCCCTTAAGTGCTGACATGAATGTTTTAATGTGTGTTAACAGTTACATCGGATTATCATGCAGTCGTATAAGTGGAAATATCATTACCAGAATTGTATCGAGTAATGTTACCATGTGCTGTAGCTCAATATGTTTTTTGTTGTATTATAAAGTAATATATTGTTAGTGTACTATTGCTTAATATAATGCTATGACTAAAACTTGTTACATTGTGGGTACAGTGGCTGAATCGTTACATACGTCATATTGGCGGCTTCATTTCTAAATATCAGTTACTAAATAGGGTGCAGTAAAATATAATAAAATATGGTGCAACGACTTATCATTGTAACAAAATACAACGTAGTGACTGAATTGTTACTTAATATAGTTCAGTGATTGAATCATTAATACATGACAGTGTTCGCTGGCTAATTGATGTTATGAACAGAACAGTAACTGATCTTTGTAATGAAATACGATTTAGTATGAAGAGTTTCTTGTTGTCAACCTCCGTTTCTTGATATTAATACAATCAGAGCTTTGTTTTGTTCTATAAGGAGGCACGGTAGTCGAAGTGGTAGGACGCTGGGCTCGTGACCGAAGGGCAACGGGTTCGAGTCACGCCACGGCGCCATGTTGTATCTTTGAGCACGATACTGTACTCTGCTTGTTTCAGTCTACTCGGCTGTAAATAGAGTATGTGGTTGAACAGTGCTAGAATTGTTGAATGCTAGCTGTGAGCGCCAAAATGACAGCACAAGCTGTATGCTCCCCAGGGAGTTGAGAAAGATATTGGCTGGTTGAAAAGGCCCTATAACCATGGATAATAATTTGTGAACCGCTTTGAGACGACCTATGAACTAGGTTGTGATAAAGCGGTATATAAGAACCTCGAATTAATATATTATTATTAAATGTGCATTATAAAATAATGATATATTACAAAGAAAGGGCCATTAAAGACTTTATAGAAAAAGATTCACTTGTTTGTAATAACTGTTTAATATAATGACAGGTTTCAGTATTTTAATGTCTCGACAAAATTGTATATAATCAATACACTCTTCCACATCAATTTAAAGATTTTAATTGAACCTCATCAATCTAACTTTCTCTAGCACATTTTTATGGGATTTATATCTTTACATTTGTTCTTTTGTTTCACCAAGTCAGCTAGGAAGCCTAAGTCAACAAGTTCTTTGAAAATGTATTAAAAATTTCTGCTGCCAGAACATCCCAAGTCACCTTGCATGAAATTTTGTTCAAATCTTATATAAACAACAAAGGAATATTTGACATTTCTTTTTCTTAAAAAGAATTTTAATTGTCAAAATCTTAAATGGTATTGTATATATACAGAGTTGCACATGAAGTATATTGTATCCCACATTTTACCCAAATCTTGAATGAAACGTGTACATGCATGTAATGTATGCAATAATTGAATTGTGAAGTTTGTCTACATAATCAATGAAATATTAAAATTTCATTTGGTAAACATGACAAAAACAAACAAATAGCTTACTGCTGTCCTAACTAAAAAAGAAATAAGTTTACCTTGAATTTTCAATTTTCTTTGAAAATGGGAAAAACTGTAAAGTTATCTCCCTTACACTAGTCACCGCATGCATTTGTCGGACCTGCTCTAGTTTCTGGATACTACATGGAGGCAACAGCAATGGTGACATTTAACATTGGTGGAAATTTATAGTACATGTAATAAAAGAAAACATATCAAGTTATATACAACAATGTATGCCGGGGAACTTTCCCCAATCAAAATGTCGCCCTTCAGTGGTAGAATCTGTTATTGCGCAGTGTTCATTTTGCCCTTGACATCACATGTTATTCTTATGTTAAGTATGTTGTGTACTTCATTTCACTATTGTAATAAATTTGCCCTCATTACAGACGTCGAAAAGGGCACAAGTCAAACTGGGAAAAACTTTCCAGTATACAGTAAAGTATCGAGAGAGAGATGGATGTACAGTAAAACCTCGATAAAATGCCAATCATTCTGTGTCACCTTGCCAACAAACTACAAGATCTTTGTTTCTCTTTTCCTAAGAATTCCGTTATTTATTTCCTCTATTTATTGATACACCTCTTTTTGTGAAAATTTCTCCAGAAAAATGGTGGCAGTATACCAGGTTATGCTGTATATTCAAATTATGTATAACACTAGTCCCACTGTTCACCTTATGTGTTCATGGACTCGAGTGTGGCTGTATGAAACTACAGTTTAAATGTAATCCATGAACTAATGAAGCCAGTCTACATTTCATTATGAACATATTGCTCATTGTAGCCTACTACGATGGTAGCAACCAAATTACAGTTTAGTCCTTTTACATTACATTGTCAGGACTATGCATGTAAAGAAACAATTCACACCTAAGAAAAACCTTAAATATTGAATCTTTTATCATTGAAACCAGCATTAATATTCAACGAAAAGAACAGCTCTATAACTATCAGATTCTGGCAATAGTTACACTTTTAATATCGCAATAAATCCTACCATCACTACGCATATCGTGTTACAGCTGCGATGGGATTTCTAGATCCAATACTGCAAGCGTAACTGGTGTGTGACAACCCAGTCACTAAGTAATCTCCATAAAACTTAGGGTATTTCCCTTACAATTTCTCGGTATAATAAAAACTAAAATTTTACATCTAAAGTAGGAACCAAGCATCCTGAAATTAACATTGTATCGTCTCTCTCTTTATAGATTAGCACTTCCTTAAGCTTTCTTTGTGTTGACTTTAAACCATGTTCAACACGGACATTAGTCACTTGGGACAGCTTACTGATGATTGGTCATATCATGAGACGAGGTCGTGTCACCGCTTAGCTACTGAGGACAACTGGTCGCGGATTTTAGATAGTCCGTCTAACATGGTATCCAATGTTTCCTTTGACAGTTCAACATTGACATGTTCCACCTCCGGGGTTTTATCAACTTCTGTCGCATTCTCCTGTACCTAGAGGGAGAAAAAATCTCGGGTAACAAATGGATCTATATATATATTTGAAAAACGGTTTGATTCTTTGTTCAAACAATCTTCAGAGACAAAAAGAAAATCATTTTTTTCTAAGAACTTATTGTAACAGGAGAAACATGAAGAAATAACATAAGGCTGTCGCATCTATAAAGTGTTTTTCAAGTTTTAAGTAATTGAGTAATTTGACAATTTTAAAGATTTGAAAAATAATACTGTCTACGTATTTGACTGAATACATTCTTTTTTTAAAAAACAGTGACTTCCATCAAAATGATTTCAATAAAGACGTCTTAACTTTATCTGTAGGACACAGGTAGGGACAGACATTCTAGTGAGAACGTTGTACCTTCATATGAAGAATACAGCAGGGGAAGGACATTCTAGTGAATAAGTCCGAGGTTGTCTTACCTTCATCTGTAGAACACAGGTGGGGACGGACATTCTAGTGAATGAGTCCGAGGTTGTCTTACCTTCATCAGTAGGACACAGGTGGGGACAGACATTCTAGTGATTTTGTCCGAGAGCCTTACCTTCATCTGTAGGACACAGGTGGGGACAGACATTCTATTGAATGAGTCCGAGGTTGTCTTACCTTCATCTGTAGGACACAGGTGGGGACAGACATTCTAGTGAAAGAGTCTTAAGGTTGTCTTACCTTTATCTGTAGGACACAGGTGGGGACAGACATTCTAATGAATGAGTCCGAGGTTGTCTTACCTTCATCTGTAGGACACAGGTGGGGACAGAAATTCTAGTGATTGTGTCCGAGAGCCTTACCTTTATCTGTAGAACACAGGTGGGACAGAAATTCTAGTGATTGTGTTCGAGGAGGTCTTACCTTCATCTGTAGGACACAGGTGGGGACAGACATTCTAGTGATTGTGTCTGAGGTTGTCTTACCTTCATCTGTAGAACACAGGTGGGACAAAAATTCTAGTGATTGTGTCCGAGGAGGTCTTACCTTCATCTGTAGGACACAGGTGGGGACAGAAATTCTAGTGATTGTGTCCGAAGTTGTCATACCTTCATCTGTATAACACAGGTGGGGACAGACATTCTAGTGATTGTGTCCGAGGAGGTCTTACCGTCATCAGTAGAACACAGGTGGGGACGTACATTCTAGTGATTGTGTCCAAGGAGGTCTTACTTTCATCTGTATAACACGGGTGGGGACGGACATTCTAGTGATTGTGTCCGAGGATGTCTTACTTTCATCTGTATAACACGGGTGGGGACGGACATTCTAGTGATTGTGTCTGAGGAGGTCTTACCTTCATCTGTATAACACAGGTGGGGACGGACATTCTAGTGATTGTGTCTGAGGAGGTCTTACCTTCATCAGCAGAACACAGGTGGGGACGGACATTCTAGTGATTGTGTTTGAGGAGGTCTTACCTTTATCTGTAGAACACAGGTGGAGACGGACATTCTAGTGATTGTGTCCGAGGATGTCTTACCTTCATCTGTAGAACACAGGTGAGGACGGACATTCTAGTGAGGAGGTCTTACCTTCATCTGTAGAACACAGGTGGGGACGGACATTCTAGTGATTGTGTCCGAGGATGTCTTTATGTCAACCCTCCAGTCAAAGTCTACCAAGCGCGGCAAGGATACTGAAATGTTATTGTGACCCTATTTCATGTTCAAAGTGCAATTTATAATATAGATATAGGACAAATAATAAGTCAGCATCACATTACCAACCAGCTGATGTATGATTAAAATTCAGGATATACATAAGTATAAGGTAGTGCCGAACACTAACATATTGAAATTACAGAAATAGGATGTCAGTTGTGGAGCAAACAGTAGATTGGTTGGTTTTACTAAATATGATATCATTGTTTACAGAGTACATTATGAGAGTCTCTTTATCATCAGCTCTGTATTGTTTTCACAGTTTGGAATTTGTAGTGTAATTTTCACTTTCACAAAATTCACATGAAGTTATACAGGTTTGTGCAATGTTGATTTAGTCTTTTTGAAAATGTTGGGTTTATAGAACTTTTTCAGAAAATGTTTCCGGTTACATTGACATAGTAAGGTATACAGTATAGCCTTTACAGAATGTCCACTGTCATGTTGAAATTGTCAAAAATATTGTACAACTATATTGTGAAAATAACTATAATAAGTAATATACTGAACATTAAACACTGAGTTTTGATTTCTTCCCCTTCACAACGATACTGTATAGATGTTTAGTTTCGTCGGGCTAATATTTTGCCGTTGTCCCGATCAGTACTAGTTTGCGTCAATTTAATTTCGCGTAATATTGCCAGGTGAAAATATTACACTCATGAAGGTACTTTTGTATTTTGGTGTTGGATTTTTATTTAATTTTTCAAAATAATGTAATATACAATATAGAATTGGTTTGATCTCCATTATCTGGCAGTAAAAGGTCTTTTATCTCTATAATTAGGTTCATGGTATAATTTTGACTGTAATTAATTTCGTGCCTTCGCTGGTGACTGTAAATATAGCAAAATTAGAACTTAACATGACTGAGTTTATTTGAGGTCCTACTCACCCTGATTATTTAAGGCACTGTTTCTCCAGTTGTTCATATTTTCCATCATTGTCTTCACTAATAGATCTCTCAGATTTTTGTGAAAATTACCTGGAAAAAAAATCTCATACACATATATTGGTTTGATAGACCATTGTTTATCTAAGAGGGTATTTAAGAATAAGAAACATTTCATAAATATATCTATTAGGATGAGGAATAGTGATAAAGATAATGTCGTCATTTGGGCTCGAACCTGCGACCCTTGGCTCTCCAACCCGATGCTCTACCGCTGAGCTAAAGGGAAATTCCCTACAGCTAACGCTTGTGAGGTAACCTAAACTGCACATCTTTTACATCAAAAATCTATGAATTCTTTCTACAAATACTTTGAATTTGAAAGCTTATCCTGAACCAGTGCAAAAATTCTTTTGACAATATCACTGCACAAGGCCCTGAAATTCTGTTTTGAGTACCAAAAGATTGATGTAATTTGTATGCATGCTTTAGGCAATGCAGCGAGCACCTGATTACTGAAGATTCTAAAAGTTAATCAGGTATTGCATTGTGATTCAACAAAAGGATTGAGCACAAGTTATTTACTTATTTAAAGCTGTGTATACTATTTACCAGAAAGTACTCCAATCCTCAAAAGGGGTATAAAAACTGAGCACACTTTTCACCACTATTCGATGTTCTAAGTCAGTCCTGTAGCATATGTGAATGTGGCAGATTTTGATTGTACACAGGATTACGGTCGCCTTCTAGCTTCGCACTAGATGGTATTCCCTATAGCTCCCTATAGCTCTGTAGTAGAGCGTTCGACTAGGAAGTCTGGGAACGCAGGTTCGATCCCCAATGAAAGCACACTCCTCTCTTTCCTGTTACAAAATAGTGTCCATGGCCTTTCCTGTGGTGACAGGGAGGTAGAACCTGGGTCGGACTAGAAACCTAGGAATCTCAGGTTCGATCCCCGGTGGAAACACGCTATTCTCTTTCCTGTTACACTTCATTTATGGGTAAAAGTGTTTGTTTTTACCCCATTCAAGTGAAGGACATATATAGTTTGTCTTGTGTGTCTGTTAGAGTTTCCATTTAGCATATTCGCGCTATTCCCCTATATCTCAATTGATCCCAAATATAAGCTCACTACTCTCTTTCCTGTTACATAAAATAAGCATGGCTGTTAAGGTTTGTACTTACTTGGAAATAGAGACTGAAGACTGGAGGGATTTGAGTCTCCATGGAATACTGCTGTCTTCAACAGAGCACCAAGTGACCGCACCAACTGGAAAACAATCCTCAAATGAGACCAATATACAAAAGTATTTGTTCTGTATATAATTAAATGTAATAGAGACTTCTTTATCATGCATTTTTTTTTTTAAATAAGTGTAATTAATTAATGTAGTTAAAGGGGAATTAATGGGGAAGTCTGCTAAGGGACAACTCTGAACTCTATCTATCTGTCTACTCCGGTGTTGATAGATGCCTACACCTTACCTGTCTACTCTTGTATGTGTCCAGAGAGAGGACATCCCAACACCTTACCTGTCAACTCTTGTTTGTGTTGAGAGAGAGGACATCCCTACACCTTACCTGTCTACTCTTGTTTGTGTCCAGAGAGAGGACATCCCTCCACCTTACCTGTCTACTCTTGTTTATGTCCAGAGAGAGGACATCCCTACACTTTACCTGTCTACTCTTATATGTGTCCAGAGAGAGGACATCCCTACACCTTACCTGTCTACTCTTGTTTGTGTTCAGAGAGAGTACATCCCTACACCTTACCTGTCTATTCTTGTCTGTGTTGGGAGAGAGGGCATCCCTACACCTTACCTGTCAATTCTTGTTTGTTTTGAGATAGAGGACATCCCTACACCTTACCTTTCTACTCTTGTTTATGTCCAGAGAGAGGAAATCCCTACACCTTACCTGTCTACTCCTGTCTGTGTTGGGAGAGAGGACATCCCTACACCTTACCTGGCTACTCTTGTATGTGTCCAGAGAGAGGACATCCCTACACCTTACCTGTCAATTCTTGTTTGTTTTGAGAGAGAGGACATCCCTACACCTTACCTGTCTACTCTGGTTTGTGTTCAGAGAGAGGACATCCCTACACCTTACCTGTCTACTCTTGTATGTGTCCAGAGAGATGACATCCCTACACCTTACCTGTCTACTCTTGTCTGTGTCCAGAGAGAGGACATCCCTACACCTTACCTGTCTACTCTTGTTTGTGTCCAGAGAGAGGACATCCCTACACCTTACCTGTCTACTCTTGTTTGTGTTCAGAGAGAGGACATCCCTACACCTTACCTGTCTACTCTTGTTTGTGTCCAGAGAGAGGACATCCCTACACCTTACCTGTCTACTCTTGTTTGTGTCCAGAGAGAGGACATCCCTACACCTTACCTGTCTACTCTTGTTTGTGTCCAGAGAGAGGACATCCCTACACCTTACCTGTCTACTCTTGTTTGTGTCCAGAGAGAGGACATCCCTACACCTTACCTGTCTACTCTTGTTTGTGTCCAGAGAGAGGACATCCCTACACCTTACCTGTCTACTCTTGTTTGTGTCCAGAGAGAGGACATCCCTACACCTTACCTGTCTACTCTTGTTTGTGTCCAGAGAGAGGACATCCCTACACCTTACCTGTCTACTCTTGTTTGTGTCCAGAGAGAGGACATCCCTACACCTTACCTGTCTACTCTTGTTTGTGTCCAGAGAGAGGACATCCCTACACCTTACCTGTCTACTCTTGTTTGTGTCCAGAGAGAGGACATCCCTACACCTTACCTGTCTACTCTTGTTTGTGTCCAGAGAGAGGACATCCCTACACCTTACCTGTCTACTCTTGTTTGTGTCCAGAGAGAGGACATCCCTACACCTTACCTGTCTACTCTTGTTTGTGTCCAGAGAGAGGACATCCCTACACCTTACCTGTCTACTCTTGTTTGTGTCCAGAGAGAGGACATCCCTACACCTTACCTGTCTACTCTTGTTTGTGTCCAGAGAGAGGACATCCCTACACCTTACCTGTCTACTCTTGTTTGTGTCCAGAGAGAGGACATCCCTACACCTTACCTGTCTACTCTTGTTTGTGTCCAGAGAGAGGACATCCCTACACCTTACCTGTCTACTCTTGTTTGTGTCCAGAGAGAGGACATCCCTACACCTTACCTGTCTACTCTTGTTTGTGTCCAGAGAGAGGACATCCCTACACCTTACCTGTCTACTCTTGTTTGTGTCCAGAGAGAGGACATCCCTACACCTTACCTGTCTACTCTTGTTTGTGTCCAGAGAGAGGACATCCCCCACACTGGCTAACACACTTTCAGAATATTGCTGTTTGTCTCTGTTAATAAATGACTCGTTACAGATCCGTAATACCACATCTTTAGAAGACGCCTGTAAATAAAAGAAAAATAACTCAGTTGTGTCTGTTTTTCTGCACAAAGGTAAATACTACATAACAATTGATTTATCAAATAGTTAGTGAAATATTACCCCCCTTTTTTCTCACTTGTTACCATGTATCATATAGATAACTAATCTTTGCAGACTTCAGACTAAATTATCTTTTCATATCCCAGACTCTCTCAATGATACACCTGTATTAGGTCATTGATGTCTGCAGTGACACTCCTCCTCCAGGACATCAATACCAACACCAACTGTCATCCTTCAGTTCATCGATGTCAACAGCGGCCATCATCCTTCAGGTTGTCAATACCAACTACGGCTGTCGATGTCAACAGTGGCTGTCATCCTTCAGGTTGTCAATACCAACTATGACTGTTGATGTCAACAGTGGCTGTCATCCTTCAGGTCGTCAATACCAACTATGACTGTCGATGTCAACAGTGGCTGTCATCCTTCAGATCATCAAGGCAAGGAGTGACCAACTGCAATATATATAGCAGACCATTCTTCTTCAGGTCATCAAATTCAGCAGTGGCCATCCTCTTTCAAATTATTGATGTCAGCAGTGACATATAGTCTTCCTCAAGATCGTAGAAGTCAGGAATGGCCAACTTCCTTCAAATCATGGATGACAGCACTGACTGTCCTTCTCTGGGTCATCTTTGTTGAGGCTGTTGTCTACTATGCCTTGTGAGTGTCCATCTAAGTACTTTTTTGTAGACAAGTTTAAAACCTTCCCCGATTGTAAATGTCCAGGTGTCTACTGGGGGGTCGCAGTGGCCAAGTGATTAAGGCGTTAAGACATTCTGCTACCACTAGCCCTCCACCACTGGCTCGCGGGTTCGAGACCTACATGGGGCAGTAGCCAGATATTGGCTGTAGGTCGGTTTTTCTCCAGGAACTCTGGCTTTCCTCCACCATCAAAACCTGACACATCCTAAAATGACCATAACTGTTAATAGGATGTAAAACACAAACAAACCAAAGTCTACTGTGTTTGTGCTTTTCCTTAAGCAATATTGTTTGACTTTAAAGGTATCTGATCTTTGTTTAGATGGTGAACCTTCTGATGAGGAATTTATGTTCTATTTTGTGAGTCTCCATCACTCTGAAGGAGTTTCTAGAAGGCTGATTTGATTGAAATACAGATGTTCTCAGTATTAAAGCAAGCTATTCATTGGGGGATGTATGGCTTAAAAGTTTGGATAGATGGCACTCTACAGTATATACTGTTTATTTATTTTTTTACATCTAAGTCAATATATCAATAAACTTACTGGTGTGTCTACTTTCAAGTGCAGGTGTGTCTCCTTTCACGTACAAATGATTCTTCAAGGTGTGCCTTCTTACAAGTGCAGGTGTCTCCTTTCACGTACAAATGTGCCTTCTTACAAGTGCAGGTGTGTCTCCTTTCAAGTACAAATGATTCTTCAAGGTGTGACTTTTTACAAGTGCAGGTGTGTCTTCTTTCACGTACAAATGTGCCTTCTTACAAGTGCAGGTGATTCCTTTCATGTACAAATGTGCCTTCTTACAAGTGCAGGTGTCTTCTTTCACGTACAAATGTGCCTTCTTACAAGTGCAGGTGATTCCTTTCATATACAAATGTGCCTTTTTACAAGTGCAGGTGTCTTCTTTCACGTACAAATGTGCCTTCTTACAAGTGCAGGTGTCTCCTTTCACGTACAAATGTGCCTTCTTACAAGTGCAGGTGTGTCTCCTTTCAGGTACAAATGTGCCTTCTTACAAGTGCAGGTGTGTCTCCTTTCACATACAAATGTGCCTTATTACAAGCAAAGGTTTCTCCTTTCACGTACAAATGTGCCTTATTACAAGCAAAGGTTTCTCCTTTCACGTACAAATGTGCCTTATTACAAGCAAAGGTTTCTCCTTTCACGTACAAATGTGCCTTATTACAAGCAAAGGTTTCTCCTTTCACGTACAAATGTGCCTTATTACAAGCAAAGGTTTCTCCTTTCACGTACAAATGTGCCTTATTACAAGCAAAGGTTTCTCCTTTCACGTACAAATGTGCCTTATTACAAGCAGAGTTCTCCTTTCACGTACAAATGTGTCTTTGGTATGAAACTACTACCATAAGTCTCAATAGGTCATTGAATTATACATTATTACCCGAACTAAAGTAAACAGAAATACATTCTACTTCTGTGCTAGATAATAGTAGATTACAATTAGATATATGTAACATGTTGTTGTGTTATAATGGTATAGCATTGTTTCATACTAGATCATGATGCGACTCATTTTAATACGTGTATTTGCTGAAAGATTACAATGAATGTCATTGTATATTAATGCAACTAAATGTATTATACTTTACTATCAGTACTTATAGTGTAGGACATTATATTATACACCACTATGTACAACTGTACACAGGGACCTAAGAATTTGTTACAGCTATATTTGGACCTAAACTAAGGTATTCAAGTAATTTTACATGTTTTACGGGTTTAGATCGACTTTCAGTAAAAATGACACCCCCAATGATCATATATACTGTGATATATATTTATGTCAGTATATGTTATATTTTACTACCTTACTCCCATTCAGAAAAAGCGAGTGTGCCCATTTAAAATGGTTGGTTCCAGTCTATGCCAGTTCTCACAAAGTATGAGTTCTTGTATTGTTCTGTTTGGGCTTGCAGGATTTTAAAAACATTTTGAGTTGTTTTTAACATGTTTTGTTACGATGTTGTTTGTGACACAGCCACTGAACTTCTTTGCTCTGATTTGTCTTTTGTTTATTGATTTAATCAAAAAATCTTTAAGGGGTAGTGCCGGGACCAACCCCTCAACCACCTTATATAAGAGCACTAGACGGAGGCTTTTCCTTCTGCATTCTAGTGTCTGCAGCTCAAGATCTTATGCCATCTTGTTTATGCATCCCGTCTTTCTGGTCTTGTAGTCTTGTTTGATGAGATGTATCGCTCTGCGCTGGATGCGTTCTAGTTTGTCCTAGTCTGCTTTTTGGTATGGATCCCATATAGTGGCGTCGTATTCCATTACAGATCTTACCATTGAGATATAGGCGGTTTTCCTTCATTCCAAGGTGCAGTGTTTAAGATTCCTGCATAGGAAGCTTTTTTAAGGCCATAGTTGATTGTGATTTCTTGGCTACTTTGCGTGTGTGGTCCATTTTAGGTCTGATGATATTTGTAAACCAAGATAGGGGCTGTCTTGCACTTCCTCTAAGATGTGGTTGTTGAGGGTGTAGAATTTTGATGTTTTCTTGCCCATGATCATGTACACCACTATATACTTAGAAGTGTGTCCGAGTTTGGAGTTTATTCCTCCTTATTTGAGAAGATTTGGGAGTTGTTAGTACATTTTTCGAATGAGCGGATGTTCCGAACACCCCAACTTGTTTCGTGAATAGTCCACATTTACTTATTGAATCGGACCATTATGAAGTTTCGATCCACATTCCAATTATTAACGCGTGCGACCCTCTCAATATATCAGATGTTAAAAATAAGGATGACATTCTGCAGACAACAGAGTCAGTTCCACAACTGGCATTCTCAGCATATCATAACAGTGATCGACTAGAGGGGGGTGATTTGCGATTTATTAAGCATACTTAAGTTCTTGCAAATATAAATGACCTATGCAAACAAATACTTTCATCGGGCCCCTATGAAAGATCAACGAGGGCCAACTCGTTACTGTACAAACATTCACATTACCTGCAACAGGACTGAAAGGGCGTCAAAATCGCATTGTATCGCCATTTTGTGAATCACGTGACATCTGTTTATAGCTCAATCGATACCTTTTGGTTTCGACCAATCAGATAGCTGAATTGAAGTCAGATGACAGCTGAGCGATATTTTCTTTTAACCAATCATTTTTCGCCCTTAATCACGTGCAATGTAGTACCGATTGCCCATCGGCGGGAAGTTCAGTCGTCTGCGTACCGGTGACAAAGAAGCTATCTCCGTGTTTTAAGAATCTCTCATCTTATTTATAAACATGCCTGGTGAAAAGTAAGTACAAAACTACCGAAAATGCATTAGAAAATGTTAGCAACTTGAAATGTTCCTTCTTCCTGTGAATTGTAGGTAGGTTAATTAGAAAAACTTACTTAAATAGTGTCCGTATAACTGTTTCGTTTACACAAAGTGAATGGGGCCTTTGTTCTGTACTATGAAAGTATGGGAAAACCACTTGTTCATTGTTCACGATTTCAGTTTTTGAAGCATTTAAAGCAAAAGTTTCCACATAAAATATAGGTTTGTAGCGATTGAGTCTTTATACCGTTTTGTTTTAACACATTGTGTTGTCCAAATAATGCTCACACTTCCGATAATTTATGAATACCATTGCAAAAGATGGCGCCATCATGGCTTGCGGCCATGCCGGTTGATGGGAGAGTTCGGTTTCATTTTACCTTAGGCTTAGCTTACATTCCTGCTGATTGATCTGTCATTTCTATTGTCGTTTACTTTTGATTGTTGTATAACTTATGATTATGAACGATCAGATTTTGTTCAAAAGAATGATCTTCAGACAACAAATAATGAAAACGAACTATTTCAGTGATTGGTAAGAAGCCATGGTTATCGACAAAGCTAATGTTGCATTTGAAATCCATCTTTTTGGTGACAAAAGATCGTTCTACATGCTGTTGGAAAGCTTTTGTTTTGCTACGTGAATTGTTGAACAATGTTTGAAACAAAAAAATATCCCGAGTTTGAATTGGAACAATGTTCGCTCTCTGAAAATATCGATTTTCGGAAGACTTTTGTAATTTAGGGGGGGGGGGGGGAATTTAAATCTACTGACCTTTTTGACACATGGTTATTTAAATCATTTAAGGGGGCAGAAACGTGAAAAAGCAACATTTATTTGAGCGAGAAGAAACATTTGTATTCCCGAAGCAGACGATAACAAGTAGTCATCTGCTGCAATTCATCAACCGTTACATTTGTACGTCTATATAGTGTATATATATATATATAACACGGGTTTGTTATTTGCAGGGAGACCGTTGCCGAGACAGTAGAAACCCCAGAGGTTGTAGAAAAGAAAGACGCGGAGGCAACAAAAGAACCAGAGACCACCACAAAAGAGTCTGAGGTAGGATTAAAATTTACAGCTTTAGTTAAAATTATGATGGAATATCAACAAATGATCTGAAATCGGTTATTTAATTATATTGTTATTAACGTTAATTCAGGAATATTTGCAAGAGTATTGGAAATATTTGTTTTGCAAAATTATAAATGACTGGTATATTCTTGTAGGAAACAAAGGAGGCAGAGAATGGAGATAAGGCAGATGGCAAAGAGGAATCTGCAGACTCGACAGAGAACACCAACGAGAATGCAAATACAGAAGATTCGGAAACAAAAGGTATCAATAACATGAAAGAAAATCTGTAGTTAGTTTGTTTAGCAAGAAGTCTCTGATGGCATATACGTTATAACTGCTGGTTATTTTTTTTCACACGTGTCATTTTGAAAATAACTGGCAATAAGATAATCGATTAACAGATGCAAGTATGTTGATGCAATTTTTTTTTTTCCATTCACAGAAGAAGTAGAGGAGAACACGGCAGAGAAAAGATCTACTGAAGAAGAGTCGGAAGACGCTAGTCCGACCAAGAAAGTAAAAGTTGATGAAACAACAAAAATTGAATCAAATGACAATCAGGCAAAGCAAGTGGAAGCTGCCTCGGCATAAAATTGTGCACATCATTAACTTTCATTCATTGTATAGACCACTACATCATGTCATGTGACAATTCTATTGTAGCATAGTGAACTCAATCATACAAAACGCTATGTTTATTTAAATTAAGAATCAGGAGGAGAAATTGTTTCAGGTGATTATTGTTGGTGTTTATATTGTAATAAATTTCGTCTCTTATTTTCATTACTATTTTTGTTGTTCTTAATTATTGATTGTCGACATGATTAATAACGGGAATGCCATTGTTGCATATATTATACACTAGCCAACCTTTAAAACCAGATGATTTGCGTAAAAAACATTGAGATGTATAATGAATATCAAATGCTAACAGCAAATTAACTTACACATTTCAATTTTGGTGGGCCACATGAAATGGTAAAAACAGATTGCTATGGTTGAGCATATTCCCATTTAATATAGGGATTGTACATTTGCCATGTTGCAGGACACCCAACTAGTTCTGATGGGACAGTAGAAATTTTTGGCTATGGTTTTTGTGTTGCAATGGCATTTCAATATGCATGTTGAGGAAGCTTAATGTAGACTGGACTTCAACTAAAATAATGTTGAGATAAACCAAATGACGTTTTTGCAACCAATGACTGCATGTTGTATTTTTGTCAGCAATTGCTGCTTGAATTGATAAACGAAACATTGTGAAGGATATCTGAAATTTCTGGGGTCTAGATCATCAACTGAAAATCGGATAATGCTTAGGAAGTCCTCCATAAGTGTCAATATGTTGCACTTTGGCTAAAGTTTCGCATTATATATGGGTTGCTGATTTAACATTGTCAAGTGTAAAGCTGACAGATTTTCTGGCTTGGAGTAACTTCTCCTGTCCAGTTAAGGCACTGCATTGATTATTGCTTGATTTAACATTGTCAAGTGTAAAGCTGACAGATTTTCTGGCTTGGAATAACTTCTCCTGTCCAGATAAGGCACTGCATTGATTATTGCTAGATAACAAAGTTTATAAAGGGTATGCTTTGTTAATATATAGGTATCTAGTCTGAATTACTGTTCATTTGTTGATTTTTTTAGCTCGCCTGGTCCAAAGGACCAAGGTGAGCTTGTGCTGTACTTCGGCGTCTTTGTCTGTACATCGCCAATTTCTTCAAACAACTTCTTAATCACTGATTGAAATTTGACGAATTTTGACTGGAAGCATCCCTAGGTTGTGAGTATTCAAAATTTTACAAAAGGGGCAATTTGGGTATATTGCTATGGAAGCATTCCTAGGTAGTGGGGATTCAAAATTGTACATATGGCAGGGCCGAAAAGGGTTATTTGGCTATATTGCTTGAAGCGACTTCTTGGAACTTAGAGATTGACATCAACTATATTTGACTGGAAGCATCCTAGGTAGTTGGGATTCAAAATTGTACAAATAGTGGGACGGGGCCAAAAGGGGGTAATTTGGCTATATTCTTGAAGTGTCTTCTTCTCTGGAACCAAGACATTGACATCAACTGTATTTGACTGGAAGCATCCTTAGGTAGTGAGGATTCAAAATTGTACAAATGGTGAGAACAATAGGGGGCAATTTCTGTAGAACTATGCACTGGATATATATCATATTTGGTCAGAAGCATTCATGAGAGGTGGGGATTCAAAATTGTACAAACACTATGTTATGTAATGAGATCTGAAATTATTTGGATTGAGTGGGGCTGACCCCTCGGGATAAGGGGTGGGGCCAAAAATAGTTTATTACTTGGAAATGGTTTGAGATTCCCACCCTAGAACCATATATACCATAGTTGGGCATAAAAGAGACAAATGCTGTCATATAAGAATTGACCCCGGGATCTGCAAACTTAAACCCTGGGTCATAACTTTGAAAAGGTTGAGATCCCCACACCAAAACTATATATACAAATGCTGGGCATAAAGAAACAAATGTAGTCATGATTTTAGAATTGACCCTGGGGTCTGGCCACAACCCTAGGGACCTAGTTTCTTGGTCACACCTTGGAAACAGTTGAGATCCCCACCCCATAACCATTCATACACTTGCTGGGCATGAACAATCTAATACATATATGGACAAGGTTTGGACTTATGGTCTGGCCCATTCCCTCGGATCCTATTAGGAGAATATTTTGCCATGTTCTGTTGTCGTTGGTAGATTCCTCTGGTTGGTTTGCGGAGCACCCAGGCATTACACTAATCACTGGTATAAAAGATGAAGGCACTGATTTCTTAGATATCCAGGTGAGCGATACAGGCCATCTGGGCCTCTTGTAAATTTTATTTTCAAATACAACGGTGAAATAAGTAACAGAAATGGACAGGGTCCATTCTCGAGTCCATCTTAAGTTCGGAGTTCAAACGCTGGTCTGGTCATGCATTTTTCCCCATGGCAATGTGGTTTTTATGGACCACTTTTAAAAAGAGCTGTAACAAATATTTCACAATGGATGGTTAAAAATGTCTTATTATGAATATAGTTAAACTTGATGATTCTTTTTACCTAACAATTCAAAGCAATTTTTCATCTTCTCAACAAACAAAAAACGAAAAAATCCACTCTTTGGTACTGTACCAAACGTCCTTGTCCCATGTTCATTGAACCATACTCGTGCTCAACTCAGAATTTCTGCTCAAACCGTTTTTTAGACCTTTGATAAATTTATAGAAGAAAACACATTTGTCATTGATCTGCAAGAAATTCGGGGACACTGATCATGAGGGCCGTATACCGTTTTCGGTGATAAAACTTGACTTAAAGATCAGCTTGAGCACAGCGGTTTCATACTTCGGACGCAAATATGAACCCTATTGTATCGTAACACAAATATATTTGCATGCGGCAGCGTCAAACACCCTGATCCGTTACAAATCAATCAGGAAAGTGTTAAATAACAAGACTCCAACTCCTGTTCTGTAATACTTTTGTTTTTAGCATTATGAGGAAACGTATCGGTAAACACATGCTTTTGTTACATATGACAGATGATTAATGGAAAACAATCCCATTACAAAACAAAAATCCATCATCGAATGTCCTCGAACCTCCAGGCACAACACAACTTCAGCCTCGGGCATTCAACGTCACGCGGAGTGACTTCCCTTTGTCGATAATTGTAAGCCATTTAATCATTGGTCGGTTTTGTTACACCACTACCAATGAAATTGAAGGTTTCACATCACGGCTCACAAGAGCAACATCCTGTAGAGAAATACACGTCTCACTCAAGTTGACAAACAATCGTGTAACCGTATGGCAGTCTGTGAACAGTGAAAATTTCCTAATAAGACAAGAAGTGTATCCGAGGAACACTTGAAAGTTGAGACACATACAGGTAAAAATGGTTTGGGTCGATTGAATTGTTTGTATATCGAGAACGGAGACAGCTGTCCAGTTAAAACCAATATTCAATATTGACATATAGTTCTGACATGTCACAGTGGTAGCGACCCCCTAACTTTAAAAATTACAGCCTCTGTATTATGCAAATACACCTCCCCTTAATTGAGCTGTAATATTATATAAAGCGATATGTTTGATGATGAGGTTTGTTACAAATGTAGGGTACTGATATGAGTATTGGTTTTGGTGGACATGAAGGATGAATCATCCCAATATCTTACCTTTCCAGCATCTGGAGCTGAACTAAATTTATATATTCAAACAACCACAGGAAACAGCTACAGGAGGAACTGTAAAGTCATTTTAAGCTTTAGTAAAGAAGTTTTTTTCATGTGAAGATATTAGGTCTTCATTTCCTAAACAATTACATGTATCATGAAATTTCACAAGGAAATTCACAAAAAACAAACCTCATGCTTCTAAGTTCGTCTTTCGACTTTCTGACGTCAAAAACGAGGTTTCTGTTGATAGAATTTTGATATCATCTCTCTAACAGGTCGGGGAAAACCACTAACTTGCGTATAATACGCACACTCGCCTATACTACGCAAATAGGGGTATGGATTTGTTACTAAAAATAGCCAAAATCACTTTAATCTTAACTTTTTCAAATTGTTTGTCCAAGTCGCATTTATTCAGTCATGAAACATAATACAAATTCAAAAATGAAGTTTATTTGCATGTGGGAAAGTACCAAAATTAGATGCAATATTTCCGGTTAAGTTACATCAAGTTTCTAAGTAGCGAATGCTTTCAGTAAGCATCTTGTAGCAAAATATGATTTACCTTGTCGTAAATTACATGCGATTTTTAACAATATCTTGCAAAGGTTATTCTTAAAGTGATTTGGGTTATTTTTAGTAACAAATCCATACTCCAACTGGCGTTCAATGGGCAAGTTTGCGTATTATACGCAATTTGGTGGTTTTCCCCAACCTGTCTAAAGACTTAATTTCATATCAAAATGTTAGTAAACACAAATGCTTGTTCATTTGAACATCTTATGTAAAAGTTCATTTTTAAACCTTCATACCCGTAATATCAGCTTCTTATCAATAGAATATGTTCAGTGACTTGAAGATAATTTATAAATGTACTTAGTATTTCTGATCATCTCAAATCACAGAAATGTAAGTAATGTTTGTGATGACTTGTTTCAATAAATTTTAATATATACTTATGTATACTAAGACTGAAAGATATAATGCCTGCTGTGCTTGCTTAGAGGTAACATTCCTCCATGCATGGTTTCTAACTGTCTATCATACATTATGTAGTAACACTGAATTTATATTAATTAATTTATACTGTTATTAGTTTACAAACACGTTTTCTATAAGTATGGTTTGGCTTTAATTTAACTTTTCAGACTTTGTTGCCAAAATGAGAACGTTGTTGGTGGTAGTTCTGGGACTGAGCCTTTACTCAGGAATTATCTGTCCACCAGTGCAAACTCAGCCAGAGGAAGGGGGAAGTGATACTGATGATGAAGTAAGTCATATAGATATGGTTTTCTCCATGAAGTAAATTATTGATGAAGCATTGATATATGATTCACTTACTCAGTTATTGAAGAAGTAGATGGTCCTTTTGGCAAACATTTTTAATAATTTAAATAATATAAAGCCAATTACCTTGAAATTTTTGTTGTCATGTTGTCACAACCAAGTCACTCAAGATTGAAAACCAAAACATGTATATTTTCCCTAATTCTGTTTTAAATGTCCACCTGTCTGTCTATACATCCATCATCACTTTGGTTTCCACAAAATAATATGCTTACATATATTACTTAATTTTGATGAAACATAAGTAAGGCTAAGTTCACAGTTCAGCAAAATCTGCTCATAATTAATGAGCATCATACTTCTCTCTGATTGGTCAACTGTTGCATACAATTAGGTAATGAAATGCCATTGTTGATCCAAAGGAAAAAAATGACTGCCAGGTTTTACACATTACCAGTACTATTATATTATACTAAATAGGACAAATGACAAAATAAGTTTGAAAGGAAACTATCAACTCAACTATATAAAGTTTAATCAAAAGTTACCCAAAGATGCATTACTGTTGACAAGAATATAATAAAAAAAAAAGAAAAGAAGGGAAACAATCAAACTTACATATCGGCTGTAGTCAATTTATCTTGTTGACTTGTTGGAGAAATAGGCAGTCCCTTAGGCAAACCTTTAATATTTTTGGTAATTTGAAGCCAGCTACCTTGGAAAATCGAAGTCTTTTTGTAATCTGTTTCTAGATCTTATGGACGGTGTGGTGCCAAGATTCCCTTCGCATCTCTTGTTTAAAGATGTATTAAAGGACATGTTTTATACTCCTTTTGCTAGTGATGTAATGGACAGTATATTTTCCCCTTTCAGCATGGTCCAGAAAAAATAACTGCACTGAGTAATATAATTCTCATTTCTATAATTTATATTTTCATACATTTTGTTAAATGATTGCATCAGAAGTGTTCTGATTATCACCATGTTAAACGACAAGCTCAAGTGTATGATTTAGGCAAGGTGATAGGTTCATTTGTATACGACAAGCTCAGGTGGATGATTTAGGACAGGTGATAGGTTCATTTGTATACGACAAGCTCAAGTGGATGATTTAGGACAGGTGATAGGTTCATTCATATAAGTCAAGCTCATGTGGATCATTTAGGACAGATGATAGGTTCATTTGTATATGACAAGCTCAAGTGGATGATTTAGGACAGGTGATAGGTTCATTTGTATACGACAAGTTCAAGTCGATGATTTAGGACAGGTGATAGGTTCATTCATATAAGTCAAGCTCATGTGGATGATTTAGGACAGATGACAGGTTCATTTGTATACGACAAGTTCAAGTGGATGATTTAGGACAGGTGATATGTTCATTCATATAAGTCAAGCTCATGTGGATGATTTAGGACAGATGATAGTTTCATTTGTATACGTCAAGCTCAAGTGGATGATTTAGGACAGGTGATAGGTTCATTTGTATACGACAAGCTCAAGTGGATGATTTAGGCAAGGTGACAGGTTCATTTGTATACGACAAGCTCAAGTGGATGATTTAGGACAGGTGATAGGTTCATTCGTATACGACAAGCTCATGTGGATGATTTAGGCAAGGTGACAGGTTCATTCGTATACGTCAAGCTCATGTGGATGATTTAGGACAGGTGATAGGTTCATTCGTATACGTCAAGCTCATGTGGATGATTTAGGCAAGGTGACAGGTTCATTTGTATACGACAAGCTCAAGTGGATGATTTAGAACAGGTGATAGGTTCATTTGTATACGACAGATGATTTAGGCAAGGTGATAGGTTCATTTGTATACGACAAGCAAGCTCATGTGGATGATTTAGGACAGGTGATAGGTTCATTCGTATACGTCAAGCTCATGTGGATGATTTAGGCAAGGGGACAGGTTCATTCGTATACGTCAAGCTCATGTGGATGATTTAGGCAAGGTGACAGGCTCATTTGGATACGACAAGCTCAAGTGGATGATTTAGGACAGATGATAGGTTCATTTGTATACGACACGCTCAAGTGGATGATTTAGGACAGGTGATAGGTTCAATTGTATACGACAAGCTCAAATGGATGATTTAGGACAGGTGATAGGTTCATTTGTATACGACAAGCTCATGTGGATGATTTAGGCATGGTGACAGGTTCATTCGTATACGTCAAGCTCATGTGGATGATTTAGGCAAGGTGACAGGCTCATTCGTATACGTCAAGCTCATGTGGATGATTTAGGCAAGGGGACAGGTTCATTCGTATACGTCAAGCTCATGTGGATGATTTAGGCAAGGTGACAGGCTCATTCGTATACGTCAAGCTCATGTGGATGATTTAGGCAAGGTGACAGGTTCATTTGTATACGACAAGCTGAAGTGGATGATTTAGGACAGGTGATAGGTTCATTTGTATATGACAAGCTCAAGCGGATGATTTAGGACAGGTGATAGGTTCATTTGTATATGACAAGCTCAAGTGGATGATTTAGGCAAGGTGATAGGTTCATTTGTATACGACAAGCTCATATGGATGATTTAGGACAGGTGATAGGTTCATTTGGATACGACAAGCTCAAGTGGATGATTTAGGACAGATGATAGGTTCATTTGTATACGACATGCTCAAGTGGATGATTTAGGACAGGTGATAGGTTAATTCGTATACGACAAGCTCATGTGGATGATTTAGGCAAGGTGACAGGCTCATTCGTATACGTCAAGCTCATGTGGATGATTTAGGCAAGGTGACAGGCTCATTCGTATACGTCAAGCTCATGTGGATGATTTAGGCAAGGTGACAGGTTCATTTGTATACGACAAGCTCAAGTGGATTATTTAGGACAGGTGATAGGTTCATTTGTATACGACATGCTCAAGTGAATGATTTAGAACAGGTGATAGGTTCATGTGTATACAACAAGCTCAAGTGGATGATTTAGGACAAGTGATAGGGTCATTTGTATACGACAAGCTCAAGTGGATGATTTAGAACAGGTGATAGGTTCATTTGTATACGACAAGCTCAAGTGGATGATTTAGGACAGGTGATCGGTTCATTTGTATACGACAAGCTCAAGTGGATGATTTAGAACAGGTGATAGGTTCATTTGTATACTTGTATACGACAAGTTCAAGTCGATGATTTAGGACAGGTGATAGGTTCATTTGTATATGACAAGCTCAAGTGGATGATTTAGGACAGGGGATAGGTTCATTTGTATACGACATGCTCAAGTGGATGATTTAGGACAGGCGATAGGGTCATGTGTATACGACCAGCTCAAGTGGATGATTTAGGACAGGTGATCGGTTCATTTGTATACGACAAGCTCAAGTGGATCATTTAGGACAGGTGATAGGTTCATTTGTATAAGACATGCTCAAGTGAATGATTTAGAACAGGAGATAGGTTCATGTGTATACAACAAGCTCAAGGGGATGATTTAGGACAAGTGATAGGGTCATTTGTATACGACAAGCTCAAGTGGATCATTTAGGACAGGTGATAGGTTCATTTGTATACGACAAGATCAAGTGGATGATTTAGGACAGGTGATAGGGTCATTTGTATACGACATGCTCAAGTGGATGATTTAGGACAGGTGAAAGGTTCATTTGTATACGACAAGCTCAAGTGGATGATTTAGGCAAGGTGATAGGTTCATTTGTATACGACAAGCTCAAGTGGATGATTTAGAACAGGTGATAGGTTCATTTGTATACGACAAGCTCAAGTGGATGATTTAGGACAGGTGATAGGTTCATTTGTATACGACAAGCTCAAGTGGATGATTTAGGACAGGTGATAGGTTCATTTGTATACGTCAAGCTCATGTGGATGATTTAGGACAGGTGATAGGTTCATTTGTATACGACAAGCTCAAGTGAATGATTTAGAACAGGTGATAGGTTCATTTGTATACGACAAGCTCAAGTGGATGATTTAGCACAGGTGATAGGTTCATTTGTATACAACAAGCTCAAGTGGATGATTTAGGACAGGTGATAGGTTCATTCGTATAAGTCAAGCTCATGTGGATGATTTAGGACAGGTGATAGGTTCATTTGTATACAAGCTCATGTGGATGATTTAGGACAGGGGATAGGGTCATTCGTATAAGTCAAGCTCATAGGTTCATTTGTATACGACACGCTCAAGTGGATAATTGAGGACAGGTGATAGGTTCATTCGTATAAGTCAAGCTCACGTGGATGATTTAGGACAGGGGATATGTTCATTTGTATACGACAAGCGCAAGTGGATGATTTAGGACAGGTACTAGGATCATGTGTATACAACAAGCTCAAGGGGATGATTTAGGACAGGTGACAGGTTCATGTGTATACAACAAGCTCAAGTGGATGATTTAGGACAGGTGATATGTTCATTTGTATACGACAAGCTCAAGTGGATGATTTAGGACAGGCGATAGGTTCATTTGTAGACGACAAGCTCAAGTGGATGATTTAGGACAGGTGATAGGTTCATTTGTACAAGCTATTTAAATAAGATTATATGTTATAATTGATACAACATTATTATCAAGTTAGGTAATGATCAATCTGTCTGGTATAAAGGTGTTGGATACAATTTGTATTTTATGTTAAACTGTTTTACCATATAACAGGACACAGGTTTGGAATATGATCGTTACCTGAAAGAGATTATTATGGCACTTGAGGAGGATCCCAGCTTTAGGAAGAAGCTAGAGGAGGCAAATGTTACAGATATCAAAGTAAGTATGAAGGCAGACCTGCATAGAAATAGGAAATTGTTGATTTCAAATTGAAATAAACATCAATTGTTGCAATGTTATCATGAGGCTCTGGAAAAGGTTTTTGACTTGAAAAGAACTGCCGTTTGAATGTTTGTATGCTATATTGTTAACCAGTATGCATTATGGAAAATAAAAGGGGGGGGGGGGGGGGGGGGAGGAGTCCAACATCCCGTGGGTGGTAATGTTTGCTAGATGTGTCTGTGTAGGAATCCTAGGTGGATACCGGAGAATTCTAGCAGAGCTCCATAGACGATAGGCAGTAACAACTTGATGAAGGATGGAACATCAACGCCAAGGATTCCGTAGGTTTAGAATTTATTAGTTTACATGTTTCGGTTGGCTAGGCCAACCTTCTTCAGAAATTTGAAAGGCTTCTTTTACCAACAACCGCCTTTGCTTTTAATTAAAACACTGATTGATATGTATTTATCATTTTAAGGTTAAATATGTGACTGTGGACTAAATATATCATGGATTGATTTGGCTAAAAAAAATCTTATTACATGTGTGAATAGTATATTAAACAGTGTGTAATAAGTAGTTTTTAGGTCTAAGATAATGTTATACCAAATGTCACTAAATGTGTGTAAATAAGTACTTGATGCTTGCAATTAGGATTGTCACTATGAAACTCCTTTTGTTTGCAACTTGCCAGATTTGTCAAGGTCACACAAATTGTATTGATCAAAAGTAACATAGGTGAAATATACAGGATCTGCTTTTTCTCTCATTTCCCTGTGTGTAAGATAGAGCCAGTGCTGTCCAGGGTAAGAAAGGGGTGTAAGACATTTCTTTCTCTTACCCTGGACAGCAGGTGCATCTGCATTTTTACCAGTGTGATATTTCCTTATATTATCTCACCCTAGGGTTAATGTTGAGAAGTGGGAATTTCCCTATTCATAATTAACAATGGTATGACGTCACTTCAACATAAAATGACGACTTGTGTCAACAATCCATCAACGTTAGTGACGTCAACCCTGAATTTAGCATGTAACATTATCATAACATTGTGTATATGATACACAATGAAAGAACAGGGTAAGAGAAAAGGAATCATTCACTCCCTTGTGGGTGAGATAAGGGAATCCTGGGTGGAGTTTCCCTATCCTACACCCCTGGGCGTGAAAGAGTCCTATATTCTCATATGGCTAGAAAGAATTCAATGTTGTTAAGAATAATTATTTGGCTTTCCTGCGGTCAAAGGAGTAGAGCCCTAAAGACAAAATGGTTGTGAATCATTAAAAGACTATGCTGTGAAGAGATTTTGTTGTTGTATATATGTAAATGTGAAAGTGATGATTTATATTTAGTTATAACAGAATTTGAAACTCTAGTAAAGAAGAAATTTTAAAATTTAAACTTTCAGTCCTACATATAGAGATATTGTTATTCACTTGTTTCAAATCTCACAAGGACCAGTGCTTAGCCCTGTTGTTTGCACATTTGAATGTGTTTAGCCGAACAGTGCTTCTTGTTTGTCTCGTACACTTGAACATATACACTTATCTTAAGTGGACACAGAGTATTACTTATGTGATATACACATTGTTATTATACATTGTCATTCTATTATTAATGATATACAAAAATAGACTTGTATATAAGTAGTAAGGGCATGTTTCAATCATGTTACTCAAATACAACATGAAGATAAAGAAATTGTATCCCCTAATCATTTCCTGAAACTGTATGAATCATCCTTATCCGTTAACAAATTAATTCAGCTCATATATTAGTTAAATCAATAAACAGATTATGGCCTCCTAATTCTTATGGACAGCTGAATGTGATCTTCTTCCATATATATACATGTAGATCTAGAAGGCAAGTGATATGGCATTAGCTGTGTAGGGATGTTACCTGTATAGAGGGTGAAAGTTATGACATTAGCTGTGTAGGTATGTTACCTGTATAGAAGGTGAGAGTTATGATATTAGCTGTGTAGGGATGTTACCTGTATAGAAGGTGAGAGTTCTGACATTAGCTGTGTAGGAATGTTACCTGTATAGAAGGTGAGAGTTATGACATTAGCTGTGTACGGATGTTACCTGTATAGAAGGTGAGAGTTATGGCATTAGCTGTGTAGGGATGTTACCTGTATAGAAGGTGAAAGTTATGACATTAGCTGTGTAGGTATGTTACCTGTATAGAAGGTGATAGTTATGATATTAGCTGTGTAGGGATGTTACCTTTATAGAAGGTGAGAGTTATGACATTAACTGTGTAGGGATGTTACCTGTATAGAAGGTGAGAGTTATGACATTAACTGTGTAGGAATTTTACCTGTATAGAAGGTGAGAGTTATGACATTAGCTGTGTAGGGATGTTACCTGTATAGAAGGTGAGAGTTATGACATTAGCTGTGTAGGTACGTTACCTGTATAGAAGGTGAGAGTTATGACATTAGATTAGTAGGTATGTTACCTGTATAAAAGGTGAGAGTTATGACATTAGCTGTGTAGGGATGTTACCTGTATAGAAGGTGAGAGTTATGGCATTAGCTGTGTAGGGATGTTACCTGTATAGAAGGTGAGAGTTATTGCATTAGCTGTGAAGGGATGTTACCTGTATAGAAGGTGAGAGTTATGACATCAGCTGTGTAGGGATGTTACCTGTATAGAAGGTGAGAGTTATGGCATTAGCTGTGTAGGGATGTTACCTGTATAGAAGGTGATAGTTATGACATTAGCTGTGTAGGTATGTTACCTGTATAGAAGGTGAGAGATATGACATTAGCTGTGTAGGGATGTTACCTGTATAGAAGGTTAGAGTTATGGCATTAGCTGTGAAGGGATGTTACCTGTATAGAAGGTGAGAGTTATGACATTAGCTGTGTAGGGATGTTACCTGTATAGAAGGTGAGAGTTATGACATCAGCTGTGTAGGGATGTTACCTGTATAGAAGGTGATAGTTATGACATTAGCTGTGTAGGTATGTTACCTGTATAGAAGGCGAGAGTTATGACATTAGATTTGTAGGGATGTTACCTGTATAGAAGGTTAGAGTTATGACATTAGCTGTATAGGGATGTTACCTGTATAAAAGGTGAGAGATATGACATTAGCTGTGTAGGGATGTTTCCTGTATAAAAGGTGAGAGTTATGATATTAGCTGTGTAGGGATGTTACCTGTATAAAAGGTGAGTGATATGACAATAGCTGTGTAGGGATGTTACCTGTATAGAAGGTGCCAGTTATGACATAAGCTGTGTAGGGATATTACCTGTATAGAAGATGAGAGTTATGACATTAGCTGTGTAGGTATGTTACCTGTATAGAAGGTGAAAGTTATGACATTAGCTGTGTAGGGATGTTACCTTTATAAAAGGTGAGAGTTATGACATTACCTGTGTAGGGATGTTACCTGTATAGAAGGGGAGAGTTATGACATTAGATTTGTAGGGATGTTACCTGTATAGAAGGTGAGAGTTACGACATTAGATTTGTAGGGATGTTACCTGTATAAAAGGTGAGAGTTATGACATTAGCTGTGTAGGGATGTTACCTGTATAAAAGGTGAGAGTTATGACATTACCTGTGTAGGGATGTTACCTGTATAGAAGGTGAGAGTTATGACATTAGATTTGTAGGGATGTTACCTGTATAAAAGGTGAGAGTTATGACATCAGCTGTGTAGGGATGTTACCTGTATAGAAGGTGAGAGTTATGACATTAGATTTGTAGGGATGTTACCTGTATAGAAGCTGAGAGTTATGACATTAGCTGTGTAGGGATGTTAACTGTATAGACGATGAGAGTTATGACATTAGGTGTGTAGGGATGTTACCTGTATAGAAAATGAGAGTTATGACAATAGCTGTGTAGGAATGTTACCTGTATAGAAGCTGAGAGTTATGACATTAGCTGTGTAGGTATGTTACCTGTATAGAAGGTGGGGTTATGGCATTAGCCGTGTAGTGATGTTACCTGTATAGAAGGTGAGAGTTTTGACAATAGCTGTGTAGTGTGTAGGTATGTTACCTGTATAGAAGGTGAGAGTTATGACATTAGCTGTGTAGGTATGTTACCTGTATAGAAGGGGGGGTTATGGCATTAGCCGTGTAGTGATGATGTTACCTGTATAGAAGGTGAGAGTTATGGTATTAGCTGTGTAGGGATGTTACCTGTATAGAAGGTGAGAGTTATGATATTAGCTGTGTAGAGTAGTAGAGTACCTGTATTCTAAATTTCTGGTTACCTGCTGTCTAACACATTATCAGCTACCCATGTAGACTCACTAATACAGAATTTCCTGTACCTGTGTTAACTATTACATAATCTTCTTGCTGGATAGTCTAGCAGAAATCTGACTGGGCTTTGTAAATGTCAGGTTTACAAAGCATCTGTTTAAGTATACCTCTTAAAGGTGTGCTTATCCTATAGACAGTGGCTAAAGCACCCGTATATCTCAAATATGGTCAGCTTCTATCCATTTGTAGATATGATGTATTAAGCTAACAAGTCATTAATGCTAACAAGTTGTTCATATGTAAAGGGTCAAACCCATTAGTAGTATCTCATCTCCCACTCTCTCTAACTGCCCATTTGGTCCCAATGTGGTCAGTAATTGATTTCCAGTCCTTGTATCCTGGATGCCTAAAATTTGTTACATCTTTGGTAGATTCAGCTCTTCTAATGTAGGTGTATATTTCAACTAGAGACAATTCAATGGTCTTCGACAATTTAGTACTATAACGTCCTGTCTATTACTTCATTACACGTTGGTATTACACGTTGGTTTAGCTATGGGTCAGCTGTACAAATAACAAGTCTATTTATACAGAAAAGCTGTAAGATACCTGAGAAGTTCCTCATGAATGTTGTGTGATTTTATGGTTCTTTTCTGACTGTGATCAAATGCCTTATCATTGTGAAGTTTGAAAATAAATGTGTTAATTATCACATAGAAAATCTAACAGGAAAACCGGCAATGCTGAACACATTATTTGGATCTAGGCCTGATACAATTCAGCCCAAATGAAAGGGTACATGTTGACATGATCTTGTTTCTTGACTTGAGGCTGCAGGCTGCTTTATAATCTGCAACGTTTCAACAGATCAGTGTCAATGACTTAGTGACTACATGGATGAAGATTTACAGTCAGCACATTGACATAGTGTCACAACACCAACACAGTGTACATGTAAAGTGTACACAGCATATCATATATCAACAAGTCTGTCCCGGAAATCCTGAGTGGCCAATCAAAAATTACCTGTACAAGGCAATGTGTATATCCCCATGAATGATAAACATGCGTTACTAGACACTTGATAGAATTTTGAACAAAGAAAACTTTTTTTTTTCAGTTGACTTTATAAATATGTATAAGTTGTAGTATAGTGATGAAGATAATCAATAGATGTAGCTATTTTCTGTCCACTGGTTGGGAGAATTATCTACTGAACTGTTCTGATTAATGTGTTGAGTATTGCATAGGGATGTGATGCTCCCAGGTCTATCAATTAATTATGGAGTCGTTGATCATGTGTTACGTTACCAGAGATATAAGGCCTGAGGCCTATACAACCTGCTAAGGTAGTTAACGTAACAGGGAAATATACCTGTCACATTACCATAAAATAGTATCTGGATAGCCCTAGGCTGTCTTATATTGAACAGTATTTATTCTCTATCTCACTAAGTAATGTTTTATGCATCCTCTCTATTGTGACATTAATAGCTATAGATTTATTATCTGTATTATTGGGTGTAAAATTTTGGTCTGTCCAATTTGCATATTTACTATGAAATTTATACATCTGAATGGGTCTAATCCTTTTATTTATTTGTACTGTCTCAAAAATTCAGGATTAAGCAGGATAACAATATTTTGTTGTTCATTAATATTTTAGCAGAAATACCAAACTTTATTTAAATTTGTTCACATGATTTTAATAGAAACACATCCAAATAAGAGGAAAACAGTTGTAACCTATCATACTTGATAAAGATCATAACGAAAATAGTTTGTGTAATGTATTGGTCTTTAGTCAACTCTAAGATATCAGAAACATGTAAGTATATTTATCTGAGAACTATCCAGGGTTTTAAACAACACTTTGTTTCCTATCCTTTCCACTTTTACCTTATTCATTCGGTCAAATTGAGGTCCTGTCATATATTCAATCGTGACCTGTTTGGTACAGATGGGCACTGGGATACCCCAACCAATTTTATACTGTTATTTTAGGTGTTGAGCTCAGGAACTAAAATTTCACAAATGAATTAAGTATCAAGGAGTAATTCAACATTTTCAGAATTTATTTATTGTTCATTATTGTTTCACTTGCATGTTACAGAAACCATTAAAATGTGTTATCGGTGGATTTAAGCATGAATTGTTCTATATATAATGTATTTGGAAGGTACAATGTGATACAATTGTTGCTTGGTAACCTTAAAATATGCTTTCCTTTCAAAATACATCACAGTGGAATTATTATATATTTTGAGACACTTTCATTCCCCTTCTCTCACTTTGCCACTACCACTTCCAAGATGGAGGAGGGTTCATAAGATATCTCATTTAATGAAACATGACAAAGATTTAGTTATTAGTTTGAAATGACTTTATTTGGAAATTTAAAAAAAAAATGCTGACTTAAGCACTACAATATGTATAACAAACAGATTTTATGATATAAGATGTATCCCTGTGGTGTATTTTGTTATTTACGATTGTCGTCTACACAGGAGTGATTTAACACGACAGGCACTAGCTTGCTTACCTGTGGTTTTCCTTGAAATTTCAATAAAAATATGTGCGGGAAACTGATATTCAAACAAAGTTTTTTGGTATAAATGTTTGTATACAGAGCTTTGTACTAGTATCAAATTGCATGTTAGGTGCTGGGTTTATTTTTAAACTTCTTAATCTTCCTTGGTTTTTGTTAGATTTTAAGCGATTTTACTTTGAATAGGCCTATGGGAAATCTTCACAAAATGTCACAGAAAGAAAGAAATTCCATTAAAATGTGATTTTCAACATGTTTGAAATAGGGGCAATTTTACTTTCTCTCGTGTTTTCAAGGCAAAGAACATTGTATAAGAATCAGAAGCCGATTAGACATAAAAACAGCTGCCATTTAACTTCAATATAGGATTTGATATGTTGCATCATAGTCACTTTTTAATCTCTTCATTTTCTGTTAACTCCAAACATTGTCATTTAATTCTACAAGTAGTTCAAATATAAACTTAAAATACATGTACCATGAAACTTTGTTAGTTTAGAATATTTGCCAAAAAAAAGTTTTTGACAATTACATTGTTACCTACGTTCCTTTGGGTTATTGTGTAGGGTTAGCATTACTGGCCTATATCTGTATGTATGAAAAGAGAATCTTTTTTAAGGGAAAACTGAATGACATAAGGTCTTGTGTAACATTTACTGTGATTTTAAAATAATTTAATTCTGTTCCGGTTTGCTACAGCCCGCTAATGGTTTAATTTATTTTTCAGAGTGGAAAAATTGCGTCCCATCTTAACATGGTAGCACACAACATCAGAGAAAGGTTAGATGAAATTAAGAGAAGGGAAATCAGCCGACTAAAAACGTTGGCTCGTGAAAAGATGAAGACCATGCACGGTACGCAAATATTGAAATACATTGCTCAATTTGGAGGTATGATATAAATATTTGTTATCTCTTTCAGTTTGTAGTGGCGCTAATCACATTCCTTAACCACTACACCAGTACTCGGAGCTTAATCAGTAAAATCAGACTGCTAGTTTCTATGGTCCTGGGGTTCCAAGCTTTAGATAAAAATTTAACACTCACTTGTTTTTATTCTGAATAAACTAAAAATAAAAAAGTATCCTACAAAGCTAACAAACCCTACGAGTAATCTAAATCAAATATTACAAGAAAAAATGTTTGTGTTGGGTTTTGAAGATACTGTATTTAATGTTCTAAGGGCGCCTGTCATAATAATGGTGCACTTATTACATCAAATGTGGTAACAGGCTTTGAACTAATGGACCAACTTTTTATTTTATTTTCTATCCAGCTTTTAATAATTAAGTAAAAGTATCCATACATTGTATATTGTGGTGTATTTTTCTTCCTCCAAGAGATGGATTTGAATCCTACATTGTAAAATTTAATGATTTTGATATAAGGTAAAACATCTGTGTATTTTAGCAGTAGATTGTATTAAAGCTCTGACAGACCACTTACTGCTTACACCGGGTCATTGTTGTTACCGGTGTTGTATGGCTACTTTGCATGCGTTTGATTTTTTAACGACCTCAGTCACGAGGAGCTTCAGTATGATGTGATGCCTTAACGTCTGTGATTAATTCTGTTGTTTTTCTCTTACTAATACGGCAGTATTGCCTCTTATCCACTGCTTACAGAAAAGCTTGACATTATATCACACATCAGTTTGTCTCACATCCAAAATACTTCATTCTGTTTTAAACAGCATGCATGTGGACATTATGTATATGACTAGAATATTTTCCATAATTTTTAGTAAAAAAACATATTTTTTTGATCGATCCTCTTTGCTTCAGTTTTATCTTTTTAGTATTTTCGATTATAATATTTTCACAAGCTTCTGGTGGCAATCGAGTACAGACAATTGGACCTGAGATATAAAATTCACTGTATCAAAAGATAACACCTGTCAAGGACTTACCCCTTCCTGTCAACTTGTTTACACAACAGGTGTTTGGTTGCTAGGATACATTCAGTTATATATGTGTGTATTACACCTGAAAAATTGACAACTTATGTGTCTACACATAGCTATCATTAATATATATATATATATATATATATATATATATATAATGTTGTACATAGCTATCATTAATATATATATAGATATATATATATATATATATATATATATAATGTTGTACATCTCTCAGCCTGATTTGGTACAAAGCAAGTCTCTTTTTTTTTACAAGCTTAGTAAAGAGGATAAACACATAATTCTATCTGAATTTTAATTGAGAAATTCCCAGAGTAGATGCTGCTCTTTTATAGAATATGTTATTCATGATTAATTTGTTATGAGTCTGACACTATTGCAGAAATAATAGTTTCAGAATTAAAAATCTTTAAAACAAACTAGTTTCTAATTGATGAAGAGCAAGAATTTGATTTGAATATATTTAATTATTTTGTGTTGCAGTTCATGATAATGTAATTTGGTTAAAGTTGAATTGAGGGCAAACACATCTATTAAACACAATCATAGATAGGGACATAAGGAAAGACACTGAATTTGAGCAAGGAATACCCATCTAAATCATCTTTGTGATCCTCTGTATGTTGACCACAATTTTTCTGTGTCATTCCTATAATGTCACAATATTTTCCTTCATATCATTCTTGTAAGACAATATTCCTTCATATCATTCCTGTAATTGACCATACGTTTCCTCATGCCATTCTTGTAAATTAAGAATGCTTTCTCTTGTGTAACCAATGTAAGTTGACCATTCTTTTCCTCACGTAAATTCAGCTTTTCCTTGTCATTGTTGTAAGTTTCAGTACTTTTCCTCAATTAGTAATGCCAATGATGTGTCAACACTAATGTCAGACATGGTCACAGTTTGTGATTTTCTTTGAATGTGTGGCAGATTGACTGTTCATACCGGCACATTTTTGTTATTTTTTTTAAAACTTCAATTTTTTTAACATTAAGGTAATATTCTGGAATTTTTTAGTTGAATTCATGTGCATTATAGGTGAATCAGAGAGATGGGGCTCTGACTATCTACACTGTCCAAAATCAAACAACATGAATAACAAAGAAAACATCTGCCCTTTACTGAATGCACTGTGTTAGTAGGACAATAGAGCCCAGTGTGATTTAAAGGAATAATGGACGCTAGAATGACCACAGCTGGTCACCTCATTTTTTCCAGAAAAATCATGGCATAGTTCATATTTTTATACATTAAATATTTCCTTTAAGAAAATCACAAAACACTTATTGAGTGACCACTCTGTCAACACTATACAGTGTACACCAACTTATGTTGCCTCTTTTTCTCCAGGCCCTGTGTAATAACGATCCTTTGTCTCTACACTTTTGTGATTCAGAGTTCATGGAAGTCGTCTGCTACATACCATATATACACTTAAAACGATATATTTGCACAACCAAATTCCTGTCCGAAGTCTTCACTTCACAGATACTTGACCATAAAGCTACCTATATATATAAAGGGTCCCAAATTCAGTCATTGACCCTGAAATAGCTGGTGTTCTTTCATCCACAAAGAAGATATGTAGGTGTACTGCAATGTAGGGGTCTGAGTAAGTCTGTCAGTGACCTTCTACTCCCCTCTAGACTTTCTCTCTGCTCTGTTTATTATCTGATCAGGACTTTACTTCCGTGTGTTATCAGGACTTTTAAAGGACTGCCGAGACTATTACGGACGAGTGTACCACCAAGATACTGTTAACATTCTATATTTGTGCATTACACTAGAATATATAATAGACCCAATGCAATAATGAATAATATCCCTAAATATAATGTTTTACCCAGTACAACACATTGACACTAATGATTATAAAATAGTTCTGTATATTATTAACAAGGGAGACAAGTTTTGTATTTGGGAAATCTGAAACATTATAATATTGGAAAATATTTCACTATAAGACAACACTGCACTCACGAAAAATATCAATATTCTGCCATACTCGTGAATTACATAATGCTATCGATCGTTAAACCATTATATATCCTCTGTACCGGTATATACATTAGCTTATTGAGTTATTGGTTTCTCTTTGTTTCTCTTTGTTTTCCCCGTCATAATTATCAGTTTAATTGCTTGGCAATTAGTTGCAAGTTCTAGTCATACCGAAATGAAGTCAAAATAGTGGCATTTCCTGCTAATGGCAAATAAAATGATAAAATGTCATTTTTAAGCAGTCAAGGGCACATTACTAGAGCTTTTAGGGTGAATTTGATGTCTTACAAAGGCTTCTTCCCCCAGAAAATTTCCTGTTAAATTCCTGTAAGTGATATTTTCCCAAGCAAAAGGTGCAGGCCCCTGTGGAAGGTAGAAATATCACTGATCCCTGTAAGTGACATGACTACATTAACTGGTTGGATTTAGAGATACCAATCTATGTACCTGAAGAAGGTGATATAAGCTTTATCTAAGAGATCAGTACATTTTGATCCTATAGGTCAACCATCAGAATACTAAAGATACACTAATAGAAGACATGGAATCTTCTTATTGAGATTTTTTTTTTAAATGTACAATTTCTTTAAATGATTTACTGATGTTTTGCTTTTTCAATATATTTGATTACAAATTTGTTTCTAGCTGTTTTTCACGAGCACTTGTTTTTTGAATGTTTTTATAAACTATTTGTTTTGTTCCACTGATAATATTTCTGATATCTAATTTTCTAATCAGTGGCTTTGATGTGGCTCGTCTTGTGAAGCTGTAAAACTTATGTTTCATCATTACCATGCAAGTAGATGGATGAAACTTTTAAAGATTCCAAATTTAACAAACTCTTGCTTCATGTTGAGATCATTAGAAGGACTTTAATTGTGAAGAAAAACAAATAAACATCATAACCATAATCAACACAGCAAGTTTCATTATCATGTTACAACTGAAACTTTACTTTTTTAGTTTTCTTCAAAAACAAATATCAGTAAAATCAAAATCCAGTCATATCTTCGATTTGAGTATATCACAGACAGTAAACAACAGCAATAAAATTAAATAAAACGGTTCCCTTTGAATATCCTTTTTAACGACTTTTCCCACCACATTATACAGATCTCGGTTAAAAAGTCCATGGTGTTGAAATAAACTGCTATCGGTGATCATGCACTGGTGTACGTGTACTTGTGCTGATGGTTAGAACATTGTGTCGTCTGGATATCGCAGTCTCTATTATATACTCTGTAAACTGATCCTCCTCCACTCTTTGTATTGACATATTAACTGCTATTTCGGCCACACTTCCTTATGACAGTATACACTGCCAGATGAGATGATATCGGACTCCCTCCCAGTTAACACTACACCAGGACTCCATTCACCCAGTCTTCAGTTCACCTGGTTCTACACCACTATTTTTAGCCGGTGATTGATTTTTTTGTGTGTGGCAGTATTGGAGAACAGCCTCTGAATGCTAGGCCTCACTGTACTACACACAAGACAAATAAATCTCTGATTCTCCTCACCAATTCAAAATGAGCCTGACATTGCCAGATGGAAGGAATCCAGCTATTGATCTCGATGATGATGAATATACAATTATTTGAATTTCTCTGAAGGACAAATGAGTCCACATCTAAAACTTTCCTGTTAAAATACTTTTCACATGAATCTCTTCCTCCATGATTGTTTTTGTGGTAAATAAATTACAGTCAAATTTATGAGTTTTAATGTTTGATGTCTAGGTGTGTTGTTCCTGATTTGATTTTCCGGTAGAGTAAAAAACTTCAATGCTGTACAATAAAATGGCTATTATATATACTGGCGCTAGTTGACTAGGTACACTGTACATGTGCTTTACTGTCTGTCCTTGACACTATCGAAACATGAGGAAGTTTTTGTTTGCATCTTCCTGGCGGAATATTTATAGCAGTTTTCATAAGCCTGCCAAATACAAGTTATGATTGCCATGGTAACCAGTGATAGGCTACGATTATTATTCAACCCACTGTATATTGTCAACTCAAAATCTTCATAGTGGATCACACTTTCTTCATCACTTTAAAAACTGGAGAATTTGGTTTAAAATAAAATGTGGTCAATGAACATGTGACACATGACATGCCTCACGTAGCTGTTATTTCATTGGTTGTAACCTACCAGTACAGCAGTATAGCATTGTGTTAGTTACACTCGGTATTACTAAGCAGACAGATCAAGTTTTACATTCCGAGATTTTTAAGCAGTTGGGAGATGAATAGTTTTCATAATGGCAGGTGATTCATACAGGTTATGACATTCTGTGGTCATCAGCCTGATTCAGGTCTTTGTATGATTTCCCCTTGTGTAGCCCCCTCCTACTCCCTAAGATAAGACTGGCTTGTGGAAAAGGATGAGGTCTGACCCAGATTGTCTGTAGGTAGAGGGAGCTATTGGGGCCCCACACAGGGACTCCCAAATTGTCTGTAGGTAGAGGGAACTATTGGGGCCCCACACAGGGACTACAGGATGTGCCAGGGTGGGGTTGTTAACACTTGAGATAAGTTGATGTGTGTATGGTAACATTGTAGACTTGTTTACTCCACATCTAACGTACAACAAAACCTATTAACTAGAGTTAATCTGGTTATCTGGAAATTACTGCATAGGACACTTAAAAATAAACTGGATCTAGTTGTGATTTATAATTAAATAATGCCAGCTAGCTGTTGAACATTACAAATTGATGCTAATTAAAATATAATCTATATATTTTGTGAAAACTTGAATTTCCTGATATGCCCACTGTATAACGAGAAATGTTCATTGTGTATTATCTTTTGTTGTTTATGCTGTTGCTATGGAACCACAAATATAAATACAAGGGATATTTCTACAACTCGAAAAGAATATCACAATTAGAAAATGTGAAAATTATATGAACTTCATTTCAATAAAAAAATGTGCACACAAAAGTATATGCATTGTATGTGTATAATTATGATCTATGCTGTGAACAGAAAACAGTATATATTTCGTTTTATGGGCTAACAATGAAAGGTTATACCCACAAAATAATTTGAAAGCTCCAAATCACGAAAGAAAGTACACACGAATATTTCATGTTTTACAGTAACACTAAATATATTCTCTTGATTTTGAGTTTTTACCTCCAAGCAAATTATAGCCAAACTAATCACCTGCAATATAAAAAAGAAAACTAACAATGTATTTATGACATTGTATTGTGTTTGATGCTGCTAACACAGACTTACAGGTCAGGACCAGTTAGAAATACTTCCTTACTTATGACTTATCCCCTTTCCAAGAAAGTTCAGCTACTTTTAGAATCCTGTTAAAGTTTTTAAGGCATTTTAATCTGACAGAGTTGATTAATTCATATTACCTGTTATACTTACTCCAAAATGCATGCACTGGTAACACTTTAATCCTTCTGGATCATCATGTAGAGTTAATTTTAAAAAAAAACATACATTGTGTAAGGTAGAACTCAAACACAAATTATTGATGAATCGTGTAAGGTAGCATATAACCTTAACTCAAACATACATCAGACATATTTTTATTTAACCTTAAATCAACACAAACGTACATTTTTATTTAACCTTTAATCCAACAAAAATCACAGGTACATTTTGTAATGTAGCATACAACCTTAACTCCAACAGAAATCAATGATAGATTGACTAAGGTATCACATATAACCTTAACTTATATTTAGAGATCAAAATAACTCACCAATTTAAAGATGAATTAATAAAAATCAGAGATTAATTGTCATAGTTTAGATTTAGTATTGCAAAATAAAGAGTTAAAAGGATTTTGGAATCAATCTCAAACTTTGATGATCATATTTCATAGCAATACCCTACTTGCAAACCTTTCAAAAGTGTCATGGGGAAGAACATGAAGTACATGACAAAATCTAAATAATCCTAATAAGTTTTTACAATGGTCCTTTCTGATGAAACAATAGTGTAAAATGTTAGTGCTGAAGTTGGTTTATGCTATGAATTTATTTAAGTTGAGAAAAAAATACCTGTAGGGAATTTTGCTGATTTCAAATAAACTGTATACAAAATTGAGGATGAAGAACTTTTAGTCTAACTTTAAAAAAGGAAGATTTGGCTAATATGTAACACTGCTTTTAACAGTTCTATTTAACATTATCAGCTGTGACACAGAAATCTTTACCTGGTAGAACCTGATCTGGATTGCTGTAAAATTAATCTTGAAAATTCACTACTTGGCTATTTCTTTTATTACGGAACTAAAGTACTTGGAATGAATATTATTTTAATGCCGTCCAGGCCACCAGATTACTGACAGTCACTGTGGTTAACTTGCATGTGTACCATTTTAGTGCTTGAATGTTAGCACAAATAACAGTATCTGAATTAACATGCAGTTCCTTGGTACTTTTCTTTGTACATCATTCTAATGCTTGTAATGTTAGTACATTTGTAGAAATTATACCTCTACACTCTATCTCATACACGGTCATACTCTAAAGCAAATGAATTGACTGTAAGATCTTACTGGGTTTTTTATTTTACCTTTTCAAGTATTAAGATTGATATCTTTTGATATTTCTTTAAAAATATGCTGTTTAATGTTAAACTGTGAGTTGTTCATATCTTCACTGTCACAGAAATGTATTAATATTGATGTCATCTAATACTTCAGCATATCTTATCTTAAAAAAAAAGACAAATTTATCAGAATTCGGTCAAAGTCTTAAATTTATTATTGGAAATCATGAATATATTGGATTTTGTGTCTTGCCTGGAGTGAAGTGAAAAAGAACAAAATGTTTTTTTTCTGGAAAGACTTGTTTACGTAAATCCACTGGTGATACTCGTGACATTTGGAAGGACTAAATAAAGCCATCTAGTTTGATTGTGTTAATCACCGTTGGATGATAATACGTGCGCATTTCTATATTCAAAATCTTATCCCTTGTTTCCATGACGACTGATTTTTTGCAGGAATCCAGAAGATGGATGGTGGGTCTCATCACGTTGATACTGACAATCACCATTCCTTTGAAGTGTCCGATTTAGAAAAACTTATATTAAAGGTAATTAAATTTTGTCATTCTTAGAATTTTGCAGAAGTTGTGCAGAAAAATGAGTGTATTTTTACTGAGGCTCACCTGTCTCATAAGGATTAAGTGTCATGGTGCCTCGTCCATTGTCTGTAACCTACACAAAATGCTAGCTAAGTGAGCTTTTCTAATGGTCTGTTCTTTAAAATTTCAACAATTTCACTTTTCTATTTAAAAAATGGCGCATAGAAAACTTTGACACACTTCCCAGAAAATATTCAAAGTGACGTTATTGCACTGAACAATTAGTGATATGGTTTAGGTCACTGAACAATTAGTGATATTGTTTAGGGGACTGAACAATTAGTGATATTGTTTAGGTCACTGAACAATTAGTGATATTGTTTAGGTCACTGAACAGTTAGTGATATTGTTTAGGTCACTGAACAATTAGTGATATTGTTTAGGTTGATCCAAGATGTCTACACTGACATCTTATGGTCTGATCTAACTATTTGATAATGTACTGAAGTGGAATGACGATCAGGGCTTCGACAGTTTTGCAACAAGCCATCTGATGGTAAACATACTATATAAACTGACGCTTTTTGTTAATGATTCATATTGCATTTTAGGTCACCTGAGACAAAGTCTGTAAACAAATTGAATTTTCGACTTCTTCTCACAAACTCCTGAACCAGTTACAATGAAATTTTGCAGAAACCTTCCATTGTATAAATATGCATGAGGCGATGGTAGATGCTATGAACATTTGACCGTAACCAACCTCCAAAGGCTGAAGGGTGGAGCCCAGAATGAATCGGAGTCAGAGGTGCTTAAATGTCTGTGACCCAGACATGCTAGAGTCAAAGACTCTACAGCCTTAAATCTGTATGCTAGACAATGGATAAGGCAGTTCTGGTGTTTTTCAATGTAATCTTGTATTTGTGTTAGTCATATTCCAAAAACAAAATATTAAAACTCAGGTGACCGTTAAGGCCCATGAGCCTCTTGTTGTACATTTATAACTCAGACCTCTGTTCCACAGGTGATATGTTGTCAATAGCTGGATCAATTTCGGCTTTGTTTCATTTCTCAAAATATCATGCAACAAAAGGGATATATGCATATGTATAAAGGATTTTTAATTAGGCATGTTACTTGACCAGACGTTTGTGTAATAATTCTATCAAACTTTAACAGAAATTCAAGCTAAATCACAACATGTAATACCTTGTCGATAAATTAGAGTAAGACTTTTCATATTTACAAATCTGATACAGATGTGTCAACAAATAGAATATGTATGTTTTGTTTATCAACAGAGTTTCATACAAATGTCTGTTCTATGCTTACCATTTATATTGGGCAACAAATGTCAATTTGAGAACATTTTGGGAATTTCTGTCAAGTTTGAACTCAACATTATTACATAGTTGGTCTCCGATTACACTAACACCATGACAGAAAGACCTGAACAGTTTCATGTTTCTGTTAAAGTTATACTTTCAGTTTGATAACAGTATTTTAAGTTGGTAGGTTTTTTTATATCTATAAAATGTATATTTATCACAACATGGGACTATAGGTTTGCACACTGTCCTTCCGTCAGTCAGTGGGTACTTTGAAAAAGGTATATCTCGTATACTGTAAAATGGCCAAATTTTGTATATGAGTATTTGGGATGGCAAAATGCATAGGCTGAAATCAGGTGTTGCGCCTCGCTATATGCTGAGTTATGGCCCTTTGTCCATGTTTGTCCAAAGCTTTGTCCATTTTTGTCCATCTGCTATGTCAATCATTTCTACTGAAATGTCACTGAATCGTCACACATTTACATTCCAGGCTACACAAGATTTAGAAGCCATTGATAAAAAGAGGAGAGAGGAGTTCAAAACTTACGAAATGGCAAAGGAACATGAGCGACAGGATCATTTAAAAAATATGTCAGAAGAGGAGAGGAAAAAGGAAGAAGAGCAATACGAAGAATTGCAGAAAAAGCATAAAGATCATCCGAAAATGCACCACCCTGTAAGTAATATACTGTTATTCTGTCAAATAACACCTGTACATACGTTTTATGTGTGTACTAAATACTGACCCTGTACATACGTTTTATGTGTGTACTAAATACTGACCCTGTACATACGTTTTATGTGTGTACTAAATACTGACCCTGTACATACGTTTTATGTGTGTACTAAATACTGACCCTGTACATACGTTTTATGTGTGTACTAAATACTGACCCTGTACATACGTTTTATGTGTGTACTAAATACTGACCCTGTACATACGTTTTATGTGTGTACTAAATACTGACCCTGTACATACGTTTTATGTGTGTACTAAATACTGACCCTGTACATACGTTTTATGTGTGTACTAAATACTGACCCTGTACATACGTTTTATGTGTGTACTAAATACTGACCCTGTACATACGTTTTATGTGTGTACTAAATACTGACCCTGTACATACGTTTTATGTGTGTACTAAATACTGACCCTGTACATACGTTTTATGTGTGTACTAAATACTGACCCTGTACATACGTTTTATGTGTGTACTAAATACTGACCCTGTACATACGTTTTATGTGTGTACTAAATACTGACCCTGTACATACGTTTTATGTGTGTACTAAATACTGACCCTGTACATACGTTTTATGTGTGTACTAAATACTGACCCTGTACATACGTTTTATGTGTGTACTAAATACTGACCCTGTACATACGTTTTATGTGTGTACTAAATACTGACCCTGTACATACGTTTTATGTGTGTACTAAATACTGACCCTGTACATACGTTTTATGTGTGTACTAAATACTGACCCTGTACATACGTTTTATGTGTGTACTAAATACTGACCCTGTACATACGTTTTATGTGTGTACTAAATACTGACCCTGTACATACGTTTTATGTGTGTACTAAATACTGACCCTGTACATACGTTTTATGTGTGTACTAAATACTGACCCTGTACATACGTTTTATGTGTGTACTAAATACTGACCCTGTACATACGTTTTATGTGTGTACTAAATACTGACCCTGTACATACGTTTTATGTGTGTACTAAATACTGACCCTGTACATACGTTTTATGTGTGTACTAAATACTGACCCTGTACATACGTTTTATGTGTGTACTAAATACTGACCCTGTACATACGTTTTATGTGTGTACTAAATACTGACCCTGTACATACGTTTTATGTGTGTACTAAATACTGACCCTGTACATACGTTTTATGTGTGTACTAAATACTGACCCTGTACATACGTTTTATGTGTGTACTAAATACTGACCCTGTACATACGTTTTATGTGTGTACTAAATACTGACCCTGTACATACGTTTTATGTGTGTACTAAATACTGACCCTGTACATACGTTTTATGTGTGTACTAAATACTGACCCTGTACATACGTTTTATGTGTGTACTAAATACTGACCCTGTACATACGTTTTATGTGTGTACTAAATACTGACCCTGTACATACGTTTTATGTGTGTACTAAATACTGACCCTGTACATACGTTTTATGTGTGTACTAAATACTGACCCTGTACATACGTTTTATGTGTGTACTAAATACTGACCCTGTACATACGTTTTATGTGTGTACTAAATACTGACCCTGTACATACGTTTTATGTGTGTACTAAATACTGACCCTGTACATACGTTTTATGTGTGTACTAAATACTGACCCTGTACATACGTTTTATGTGTGTACTAAATACTGACCCTGTACATACGTTTTATGTGTGTACTAAATACTGACCCTGTACATACGTTTTATGTGTGTACTAAATACTGACCCTGTACATACGTTTTATGTGTGTACTAAATACTGACCCTGTACATACGTTTTATGTGTGTACTAAATACTGACCCTGTACATACGTTTTATGTGTGTACTAAATACTGACCCTGTACATACGTTTTATGTGTGTACTAAATACTGACCCTGTACATACGTTTTATGTGTGTACTAAATACTGACCCTGTACATACGTTTTATGTGTGTACTAAATACTGACCCTGTACATACGTTTTATGTGTGTACTAAATACTGACCCTGTACATACGTTTTATGTGTGTACTAAATACTGACCCTGTACATACGTTTTATGTGTGTACTAAATACTGACCCTGTACATACGTTTTATGTGTGTACTAAATACTGACCCTGTACATACGTTTTATGTGTGTACTAAATACTGACCCTGTACATACGTTTTATGTGTGTACTAAATACTGACCCTGTACATACGTTTTATGTGTGTACTAAATACTGACCCTGTACATACGTTTTATGTGTGTACTAAATACTGACCCTGTACATACGTTTTATGTGTGTACTAAATACTGACCCTGTACATACGTTTTATGTGTGTACTAAATACTGACCCTGTACATACGTTTTATGTGTGTACTAAATACTGACCCTGTACATACGTTTTATGTGTGTACTAAATACTGACCCTGTACATACGTTTTATGTGTGTACTAAATACTGACCCTGTACATACGTTTTATGTGTGTACTAAATACTGACCCTGTACATACGTTTTATGTGTGTACTAAATACTGACCCTGTACATACGTTTTATGTGTGTACTAAATACTGACCCTGTACATACGTTTTATGTGTGTACTAAATACTGACCCTGTACATACGTTTTATGTGTGTACTAAATACTGACCCTATACATACGTTTTATGTGTGTACTAAATACTGACCCTATACATACGTTTTATGTGTGTACTAAATACTGACCCTATACATACATTTTATGTGTGTACTAAATGCTGACCCTATACATACATTTTATGTGTGTATTAAATGCTGAGACTATACATACAATTTGTCTGTCTAACCTCCATTTACACACAATAATTTGAGTTCTTTTAAGCCTGATCTACTCATATTTCATAGAGTGTTTGCCTTTCAGGTCTGAAGGTCAGAGATCAAGGTCACTTGTACACTGTAATACATGTGAAATTTACTTTCCACACAATAACTCCAGTTGTTTGGGACTGCAACTTATACAATGCTTCTTTACCAAAAATTCTTGCTTCGATTGCTTTTTAAGTTCAAATGTCAAAAGCAAATATTTACTGTAAATAGAAAATGGGTTGTCATGCAATAATTTGAGGAATTCCAGTTGAGTTCCCTCTTGTACTGCTTCCTATTGGGGAATGTCTGGTGTGGAATACTCTACAGGTCCAAAGGTCAAAGGTCGAGGTTACTGTTCATATAAATAGATCATAGAACCTGCACCAAACAATATTTTGATATTCAAAACCAATCCATGCTATTCCTCGACTTCAATATATATATATACCGATCAATGGAATTAGTGTTGTGCATCGATACCTGATGTTATTTATTTCTTACCATACAAAATTTCTTTTATAAATGGTTCTTACCAGTATCTTTAAATAGTATCATGAAAAAATGGTATTGTAAATTTATATACACTTGACAAGATCATGCATGAGTGGTTAGTTGATAATAAGCTTTCTTTGCATTTAGGTAAAACAGAGAGCATGCTATTTAGAACAGATTTTTTTTTAAATCAAATTGATCATTTTGAAATTGTCGCAAAAAATCATACCATCAAATCAACTAAATCTGTGAAATATCTTGGAGCTAATATAGATTGTTGTATGTCTGGCGAAGAAATAGTAGAAAACATCGTGAGAAAAGTAAATTCTAGACTGAAATTTTTAAACAGACAAAGTAAATGTCTAACTACAAAAAACAGACAAAGTTTATGTTCTGCACTAATACAGTGTCACCTAGCTAGATTATGCATGCTCCGCGTGGTACTCAGGATTGAACAAGAAAATGAAGAACAAATTACAGGTTTTACAAAATAAAGTTGTCAGATTTATTAGCCAATTAGAACCCAGAACGAGTATCTCTCCCACTGAACTGTCAAAGCTCAATATGTTAAATATAGAATACACAGCCAAACAATTAAGACTCAATCATGTGCACAAGATTTTTTATGGAAAATGTCCATCCTACTTAAACCTAAACTTCATAAAAGTGTCAGGTGTTCATCAGCATAACACACGATCATGTCTTTTTAATTTTGTTGTTCCACCATGTAAAGGGAAAGATACCTGTACTTTTTATTTTAACGGGATCCATGACCGGAATAGTCTGCCTGACAAAATCAAGGGTATAAAATCCATATATGCATTTAAGGCGGCAGTGAAGAAACATCTCGCTTTTAAATTTCAAAATTCATGCTGATAACACAATTATATGTGATTGCAGTGGCACAAACAAGTAGACTTTGCTGGTAGGGGGATCCCCAACCCTAAGAAAACTAACTTTGTGTCACTGCAATCCACGTGCTGACGACATCTGTACCGTATTATTTTTTTTTAAATATAAATAGTTGGAAAGTCACGTTACATATTTTAAGTTGGGCTAACTATTTAAACCTGAACATATATATATGTGTTTTTTTTAGATTATATAGTCATCACGGAATTACTAAAGGTACTGACAATAAAGTTAATATGTTGTCATTAATTCCCTCCTGCCAAAATCTTTCCCCGTGATCAGTATAACATGGACCCCATTGGAAATAAGCTTTCAAGCTTTCATGGGCTATCCTCAGGCTTATAGATCAATGTTTGTGTTGTATTAATTGTATAAATATAATTACCTATATCTTAAAATCAGTTAGGAATTTTAGTTTCATATATAATATAATATTTTAAGATAATACAATATTTTATTACTGACGATAATTTAATACATGTAGGTTCATTAATATTTGAGCGTCCGGAGAGCGTGTAGGAAGGGGATGCCCCAATCACCTGCTCCTTGGACGGCCCCAAAAACCTGTGATATTCTGTTTAATATTTTTAGTAATATATATGTATGCTGTACTGTAATATGTATGTCAACTGTCATGTTACATGTGATGTCTATGATCTATTTCCTGAAATAAACATTATTATTATTATTTATGCTTCACTGGTGGTATAAGTAATAAAAAGATTGTAATGTATTAAATTTTTACTCTTTTCCAGGGCAGCAAAAAACAGCTGGAGGAGGTGTGGCAGAATACTGATCACCTTGACCCAGACTCATTTGAACCCAAGACCTTCTTCAAATTCCATGGTAAGCACCCACCTCCTGTAATGTCACTTTAGGTCAAAGTTCAAGTTTCTTTGGCCAAATATCATACAGAATTTGTTTGGAAATAGATTATAATTTTCACTCACCTGTCCAGAAGGGCAAATGAGCTTTTAACACAGTAAAGCATTTGTCTGTCAACGTTTCATTCAAAAGTATACTATGTAAGTATGTGACCCACCCCCACCTTAAACAGATCACTGGGTCAAATAGGGGTAAACTATTCAAGTGCTGGTTCCTTCAGTATGGAAAGATGATTTTGACTTCAAAGAATCCCTGGGCCAAGCAGACGTAAAAACAAATCCCTCTTACAGAAGTGAAAAGATCTGACAACTTTTAAAAGTCTAAGACAAAGAAAGGATGTTAAAGAACATTGGTTCAATCAATGTTAATTAAATTGTCAATGCTATTTGGAACCTTGTAAGTATGAGTTATCATAGATCTGAAGTTTTGAGTATCAGAATATGACCCTGTAGATGAGGTCTCCTATAATCAATCACACAGCCTGATTAGCTAGCCTAGATTGTGTTATATAGGTGTTAATCCTAAACCATACTCAGTACTAGTTCCACCAACATGTCAGTTCCATAAGTATTCCCAGCATGCCCCATACAGGAAGTTACATCATTGTGTAAAGTACACAGCATTATCAGGATTGCCTGTAAATAACAATGTACAATACTACAACCATAGGCAGTAATAACAGGTGTTGAATGACAGTGGTTTAGCCACAGGTGAGCTACATGTGCCTGCGTCATCATCATCAACACAATTATTGATTGGACTTTGTTTAATGTCCTCTAGTAGGAACAGATATAAGGGGGATACACAGTTAATCAATAGGTCTGTTACATGTATTGTCATCATCATAACGTTAATCTGGTATCATTTATCAACAGTATTGACCTTCAAAAGGGAAAAATATACAGATTATATGTCAAACACCAAAAGGTATTGGCATATTATGGCCTGCGTTAATTAATTCTGTTAAGTACTAAATCATGGCATTTGTTGAAATTTATTTCTATTTGACCACATAAAATATAAAATTGTATGTTTGATGTATAAGTTTAATCATGAAGTAAATGTATATTTTTGCCTCTGCTTTTGGAAGAAAATGGGGATACAAGTTTTGTTGAATGTTTATGTCAGGTTTTCGTTAGCTGTTACCTTTAAACTGATCAATTTTGTACTAAAGCACATATATTAATAATGACAAGTTTTAGGCTGAGTTTGATTGGCAATTTGATGCATGCATATTTATATATATTTAATGATGCTAGCTGATTCTGATTTGTTAATTGGTTTCATTGTATAAGAAATCAATAGATTTCAGCAAAAGTTAGAGTGCACATATATATAATAGAAGGTTTCATATGTTTGAATGCCATTGTGATATTTATAAATGAGACTACACATTTCTGGTTTTGTTTCCATGCAATAACAGCTGTAAAAATAGTAACATTTCAACCAAATGTAGTATGCATTTCAATACATGTTTGAAAGTCTATGCTAAATATCTGCACACCAAATACGATGGGTATTTATGTTGTACCTATGAGTAGAAGACTGGCTACCAGCCCCCAATAGGACTTTACTGTATTTAATAGCTATACGATGGGTGTTTATGTTGTTCCTATGAGTAGTAGACTGGCTACCTGCCTCCAATAGGCCTTTGCTGTATTTAATAACTATACGATGGGTGTTTATGTTGTGCCTACGAGTAGTAGCCTGGCTACCAGCCCCCAATAGGACTTTACTGTATTTAATAGCTATACGATGGGGGTTTATGTTGTACCTATGAGTAGAAGACTGGCTAACAGCCCCCAATAGGACTTTGCTGGATTTAATAGCTATACGATGGGTGGTTATGTTGTACCTATGAGTAGTAGACTGCCTATCAGCCCCCAATAGGACTTTGCTGGATTTAATAGCTATACGATGGGTGTTTAGGTTGTACCTATGAGTGGTAGACTGGCTACCAGCCCCCAATGGGACTTTGCTGTATTTAATAGCTAACAGATGGGTGTTTATGTTGTACCTAGGAGTAGTAGACTGGCTACCAGCCCCCAATAGGACTTTGCCGTATTTAATAGCTATACGATGGGTGTTTATGTTGTGCCTACGAGTAGTAGCCTGGCTACCAGCCCCCAATAGGACTTTGCTGTATCTAATATCTATACGATGGGTGTTTTATATGTTGTACCTATGAGTAGTAGACTGTCTACCAGCCTCCAATAGGCCTTTGTTGTATTTAATAGCTATACGATGGGCGTTTATGTTGTACCTATGAGTAGTAACCAAATGTAGTATGCATTTCAATATATGTTTGAAAGTCTATGCTAAATATCTGCACACCAAATACGATGGGTATTTATGTTGTTCCTATGAGTAGAAGACTGGCTACCAGCCCCCAATGGGACTTTGCTGTATTTAATAGCTATATGATGGGTGTTTATGTTGTACCTAGTAGTCTGGCTATCAGCCCCCAATAGGACTTTGCCGTATTTAATAGCTATACGATGGGTGTTTATGTCGTACATATGAGTAGTAGACTGGCTACCAGCCCCAATAGGACTTTGTTGTATTTAATAGCTATACGATGGGAGTTTATGTTGTACCTATGAGTAGCTATAGTAGACTGGCTACCAGCCCCCACTAGGACTTTGCTGTATTTAATAGTTATACGATGGGTGTTTATGTTGTGCCTACGAGTAGTAGCCTGGCTACCAGCCCCCAATAGGACTTTACTGTATTTAATAGCTATACGATGGGGGTTTATGTTGTACATATGAGTAGTAGACTGGTTACCAGCCCCAATAGGACTTTGCTGGATTTAATAGCTATACGATGGGTGTTTATGTTGGACCTATGAGCAGTAGACTGGCTACCAGCCTCCAATGGGCCTTTGCTGTATTTAATAGCTATATGATGGGTGTTTATGTTGTACATATGAGTAGTATACTGGCTACCAGCCCCAATAGGACTTTGCTGGATTTAATAGCTATACGATGGGTGGTTATGTTGTACCTATGAGTAGTAACCAAATGTAGTATGCATTTCAATACATGTTTGAAAGTCTATGCTAAATATCTGCACACCAAATACGATGGGTATTTATGTTGTTCCTATGAGTAGAAGACTGGCTACCAGCCCCCAATGGGACTTTGCTGTATTTAATAGCTAAACGCTGGGTGTTTATGTTGTACCTATGAGGAGTAGACGGGCTACCAGCCCCCAATAGGACTTTGCCGTATTTAATAGCTATACGATGGGCGTTTATGTTGGACCTATGAGTAGTAGCCTGGCTACCAGCCCCCAATAGGACTTTGCCGTATTTAATAGCTATACGATGGGTGTTTATGTCGTACATATGAGTAGTAGACTGGCTACCAGCCTCCCATAGGCCTTTGCTGTATTTAATAGTTATACGATGGGTGTTTATGTTGTTCCTATGAGTAGTAGACTGGCTATCCGCCCCCAATAGGACTTTGCTGTATCTAATATCTATACGATGGGTGTTTTATATGTTGTACCTATGAGTAGTAGACTGGCTTCCAGCCTCCAATAGGACTTTGCTGTATTTAATACCTATACGATGGGTGTTTATGTTGTGCCTACGAGTAGTAGCCTGGCTACCAGCCCCCAATAGGACTTCGCTGTATTTAATAGCTATACGATCGGTGTTTATGTTGTACCTATGAGGAGTAGACGGGCTACCAGCCCCCAATAGGACTTTGCCGTATTTAATAGCTATACGATGGGGGTTTATGTTGGACCTATGAGTAGTAGACCGGCTACCAGCCTCCAATAGGCCTTTGCTGTATTTAATCGCTATACGATGGGTGTTTATGTTGTAGCTATGAGTAGAAGACTGGCTACCAGCCCCCAATGGGACTTTGCTGTATTTAATAGCTATATAATGGTGTTTATGTTGTACCTATGAGGAGTAGACGGGCTACCAGCCCCCAATAGGACTTTGCCGTATTTAATAGCTATACGATGGGTGTTTAGGTTGTACCTATGAGTGGTAGACTGGCTACCAGCCCCCAACAGGACTTTGCTGTATTTAATAGCTATACGATGGGTGTTTATGTTGGACCTATGAGTAGTAGACTGGCTACCAGCCTCCAATAGGCCTTTGCTGTATTTAATAGCTATACGATGGGTGTTTATGTTGTACATATGAGTAGTAGACTGGCTACCAGCCCCAATAGGACTTTGCTGTATTTAATAGCTATACGATGGGTGTTTATGTTGTACCTGACTTGGTCATTGCTATATCCTTTTCCTCCAGATATTGATGGAAACGGTTTTTTGGATGAAGATGAAGTGGAGGCACTCTTCCAGAAAGAGGTAACATATTTCAAACTGATCCTTGTGGAAATATAAATTTTGTTACTTAAATATAGGATCTTGCACAAGTTTCCTTTTCATATGAGATTTCATCTGCCCTAGCCAAGTGTTCACTTCGTATACACTACATTTGGCGGATATAGCCGTGTTTACCGACCCTTCAAATTTCGTACGTTGCCAATCGCTCGCATCCAATGAAATCTCGTCTGACATATAGCGCTGTTGATGAAGGAAAAAAGTAATGGCAACGCCCTGTATGGAAGCACATTGTCGTTTATGTCAGAGTATTCCCCCGCCCGTGTATACGAAGCGAACACTTGGCTAGCGAAGATGATGAGATTTATGAAACGAGTATTTTGATTGAACATAAATCATCTTGAAGCACTATAACATCTAGGATCAATAACAAGGTTACCATGTACTATATTTTGTAAGTCATTGCTAGCTATCTAGCGACTTCATCAAACTTCCTTTGGCATCATTTGTTTTGTATCGATCAAAGTTGAATAATGAGGGGTCTGTATCACTTGCCATGTCTTAAGTTGTTTTACAACAATAATTGCAATTATGGAACAAGTTATAAACAACATAAATAGCACAGGGGTTCTCAAGTGTAATGTTATAGAAAACTAGGAAATTCAGAGATAGGTTTTCCCATGCCTTTAAGTTAAATAATTAAACATTAACTTAGTTGTGAAAGGTGAGTGTTGCAGCGTTATAGCATGTCAGCTAACCACTCTTAGAATGATGCAGATCTTATTTCAATGTAAGAAAGCATATAACACTATATAGCATTCAACCGGCGTATATTGTTCCGCCGCGCGGTACTCTTGTTCAATTAAGTGAGCCTCTGGCGAGCTATAATGAAAAATTTGTGACGAGTTTCATAAATTTCATGTGAAATGATAGAGGCTTGCTAAATTAAAAAATTTGTGGCGAGTTTCATAAATTTCATGTGAAATGATAGAGGCTCGCTAAATTGAAAAATTTGTGACGAGTTTCATACATTTCATATGAAATGATAGCGAGTGTAAGATCCTTAAGCTTTTAATCACATAATCAGGATTTGTGGCAGTTATTGGTGTAAAACAACAATTTTCATGCAACTTCGAAATGTAAAAAAGTCGCCATTTTGACTTCTGTGCATAATTCTGTGATGTCATGTACTTGTCCTAGGTGTGATGTCACAATTGAAACAATTGAAACTTACAACCAATCACAGGGCTGATATTTCATGGGTTAATACGCAGAAAATATGACATGGGTATATTCACTGGATAACATAGTACATTATGTGATAAATGGGAATCTTTGTCTACAGATAAGACAGTACAAAGATATATTACCTAGTTATGAACTCAGTGGAAATAACTTTGTTACTATTGGACATCTGCACTTTTGAAAATTCTAGGATATCTATGATTTTTGAATTAGTTGAATCCAGTGAGTAGTTTTATAAAAATACTTTTATTTGATGTAAACAGAATTTCCTTTGGTGAAAATTATGTTGAATTAACTAAATCTGAAACTAAGTGTCAGGACATCCTGTTCAAAGGTAGACCAGCTTTTTTGTATGACATTCGTATGATTATGATGTTGTACTTGTAGCTTGACCGTGTGTATGATGAAAATGCACCAGAGGATGATATGACCGAGCGATACGAGGAGATGGCACGCATGAGGGAGCATGTTGTGACTGAAATTGATGCCGACAAGGACAAGTTGGTGTCCCTTGAGGAGTTCTTGAAATACACACATGGCGATGACTTCAAAAAGGATGAGGGCTGGGAGGTAAGGGGAACAAATGTTATTACATGGTGATCCAAACTTTTTTTAATCAGGTGCATATGTATATCATTGGAACAGGTAGATTTGGGTGACTGCATGGGTTCCCCCCCCCCCCCATCCAACTCTTACCCCTGTGGGAAATGGCTTAATATAAGAGCCTACTCTTGTTGCCAGATCCCTAATATTAAATTATTTATGTAAAATTATATATTATGTACAGCATATTTGTAAATAAAATATTGTTTAAACCAACAAATGAGGGCTCCAATGGATAGGAGATGAAAATTAAAGGGAGATAAGTTAATAAATGCTGGAGAGTAAGGGATATGATAGGGCCATGAGGTAAGAGAAGGTAACAGGGCCTAAATGTAAGGAGAGATAACAAGGGCCTTGGGGTAAGGGGAGATAACAGGGCCATGCGGTAAGAGAATATAACATAGGCTATGAAGTAAGGGGAGATAACAGGGACTAGGAGGTAAGAGATTGTTACAGGGGCTATGAGGTAAGGGGAGATAACATGGGCTATGAGGTAAGTTGAGATAACATGGGGTATGAGGTAAGATGAGATAACATGGGCTATGAGGAAAGTTGAGATAACATGGGCTATTAGGTAAGTTGAGATAACATGGGCTATGAGGTAAGTTGAGATAAGATGGGCTATGAGGTAAGTTGAGATAACATGGGCTATAAAGTAAGGGGAGATAGCATGGTATATGAGGTAAGCAGAGATAGCATGGGACATGTGGTAAGGGGAGATAACATGGGCTATGAGGTAAGAGAAGATAGCATGGGCTATGAGGTAATAGACTACAAATATGAAGAGAAATACAATTGTTTGTTATAGTCTTTGGATGAGCAGGATCCATACACCGATGAAGAATACCAGGAGTATGAGAGGATGCTTAGGGAGGAAGAGGAAATGAGGAGAAGACAAGGAACTTTTGATAACCATGCTCAGCCTGGAGTAGTGGTAAGTTACAAGGGAAAATCAGTACAGGCTTATCAGGGTTGTAGAAGATAAGTGGGATCTGTGTGTCCAGTACTTCAAAGCCTTTTTTCACACACAAAAGTTGCTATATGCGCTTTTACTTAATAGAGGAATCAGGTGTGCATAGATTCATCATTGTTATGAAAATTGCCTTCTTAAGCTTTTCAGAAACAACAAACTACGGTAACAACATATAGCAAGCATGTAGCCAAGATTTATTTTGCTATTCAAATGTTATAATAGAAATAGTAAACAATGAAATAGTTTCCAGAATATTTCCAGAAAAACGGTACAGTTTATTAACTATGTATATAAAATACACCTGTATTTTGTGTTGCTGTGATATAGTTATGTAACGTTCAAATTTGTTTTGCATTCTATGGTACATCAGTACTATGTGTTTTATGTTTCTGTAGATGCATCCTCCACAACACGCCAATGTACAGGAAATGGAGATGCCACAGCAAGTTCCACAACATCAACAGCAGCAGTTCATGCAGCAGCAACAACAGATGCAAGGAATGCCACAACAGGGAATGCCACAGCATATGCAAGGAATGCCACAACAAGGAATGCCACAGCAACACATGCAGGGAATACCACAACAAGGAATGCCACAGCAACACATGCAGGGAATGCCACAGCAACATGGAATCATGCCACAACAGCAACAACAGCACATGCAGGGTGTGCCACAGCAGCAACAACAGCACATGCAGGGCATGCCACAACAACACCAGCAACAACCTGTGCAGGGACTGCCACAACAACACCAGCAACAACCTGTGCAGGGACTGCCACAACGGGCAGCTGCTCATATGGATGCATCACAACAAGCACAACAGGGTATGCCAGCTGATATGAGCAAGGCTATAAATGATCTACAAAATCAGGCAAGCAATATGATGAACCAAGCACAGCAACAAGCAAACCAGGCACAGCGTCAGAAGGCATTGGAGGACCAGGCCAAGCAAGCACAAGAAACAGCTGGTGGACAACCTTTAGTGGCAGGAGGTGGTCAGGCACCAGTACAGGTAAATATAGAGTGGGAAGTGTAGGGACCAATAGTCTTAAACAGATATTAAGACTCCTAGGATCTTTGTGTTGAAGAAGACTGAATGTTTAAATCTCAGATGTGTAAATAATACCTTTCAGAAGGGCTTTTTCTTCCCTTTGGTAAATTTCACCCATATGAATGAAAACAGCTATAGCGTAGGACAGGAGGACAGGACCTGATAACAGGACAAAGAACAAAGGGGACAAAGAACAAAGAACAAACTCCTGATTACAGGACCTAGGATGGAAGGTGGGGGGTGGCAGCTCCTGATAAAGAGGAAAATTTTCTGATAACATGATCTTAGATAGGTGGGACAACTCTAGATAACAGTAAATAGTATGGGCAATCTAAGATAGGTGGGACAACTCCAGATAACAGTAAATAGTATGGGCGATCTAAGATAGGTTGGACAACTCCAGATACAGTAAATAGTCTGTGCGATCTAAGATAGGTTGGACAACTCCAGATACCAGTAAATAGTATGGGAAATCTAAGATAGGTGGGAAAACTCCAGATACAGTAAATAGTCTGTGCGATCTAAGATAGGTTGGACAACTCCAGATACAGTAAATAGTATGGGCGATCTAAGATAGGTGGGACAACTCCAGGTAACAGTAAATAGTATGGGCATGATGGTGGCAGGATCATTGACATAACAACTATAAATGCCAGGACCAAGGAAAGGATTAACAACATCATGATAACATGATATATAACAAGGGGGGCAACTCCTGATGTCAGCATGTCTGACAAAGGGGATACTCCTGATAAGTGGACCTAGGACAAGGGGGATAACTGCTGATGGCATGACCTGGGATGGGGAATAAGAGAGGGGCAAGTCATGAAAACAGGACCTTGGACACAGAGACAAGTTCTGATGACATCTCCTGATGACACTACACTGGTCAAAGGGACATTAAAAGACTGATTCATACAGAGCTGCATATTAATGGTGAAAATGACATTGGTAAAACACATTTTGTCTCTACAAATGGATTGAAAATGCTGAAATTATAATATAATTTTGTTATATGTTTATACTGTAATACACATAGTCTGTAAGAGTTATGAAGAGAACATTCATATAAATTAGAAAAGATCTCTGTAAGAGTTATGAAGAGAACATTCATATAAATTAGAAAAGATGTTTCTGATTATTATGTCTCCCCTTCGAATGGGTTCTTCTTCTTCTTCTGGTTCTTCTAATCCCAACGTGTTTAGGCCATAACTTTTAAACTGTTAAAGATATCTTGATCAAACTTGAGGCATGCCTGCATCACCCACAGAAAGTGTGCAGTGCACTGGAATTAGGTTACTGTGACATTCACCTCAAGTTCAAAGGTCAAATAAGTGCAACATTTTCAGTAAATTCTTGTCCGGCCCGTAAATTTTAAACCATTTTATAATTTACACACCTTAATCTTGATGCAACCTTTCTATTCTTCCAAATATGCATATTGGCTAATATGGGAAGACATGTTCTTGTTCACAAAAACAAATTTCTAGTTAACTGTTCATTACCTTGCCATTTTTCTTTTACCTTGCAGGCTAACCAAGCTGAACAACAAGCCCAGGCAGGACAGCAAGCCCAACAGCCGATCCAGGCCCAGCAGCCAGACCAGGCCAAGCCAATACACTGATCAAGTGTAATATGATCAATGGGTACAAGGATGATCAACTAACAACTTAATCTTTATGAATTATTCGTGCTAAGTAATCCCAAATTAAATCAATTTTCAAATGTTTATTTTTACATCCGAATTTATTTTAAGATATTTTGTCTTGTCATAATCTCTTAATTAGGGGTAGTTCAGTAATTTTTAGCTCACCTGGTACGAAGGATGTTGGGATGAAGGTATTTTGACTAAATTTGAACAGTAGCATCCTATGGGGAAGGGAAATCATTTTTGTATAAATTCTTGGTTTGAACCCCCTAGGGGGGAGAGTGTAGGGGCCAAATAGGGAAAATACAAAAAAATAATAATTAAAATCCTTGTTCTTCTGCAGGAATGACAAGATTATGTCCATATTTGATGTAAAGCATCCTTGGGTGAAGGAGAGCTAATTTTATATCAATTCTTGAAAATTCCTTTTTGACACTCCTATTTCAATTTAAATTTTGCTAATATTTCCAGGTGAGCGATACAGGCCCTCTGGGCCTCTTGTTTATGACATAATTATTGGTTTAAAATATAAAATGCCCAATGTAGCAACATGAAAAAAATATTTTGGGGTAAAAAATGTGAAAGATCCATTGTAAGAATGTTCAAGATAAAGATTTATATTTGTTCAGCAAACTATCAATAACTTACAGTATGATGAAAAGTTTAATGTACAAGATTTTAAAAGTGATTGTTCAAGATATCATGAAACAGCTCTAGATAATGATACCTGTGTGCTGGTTCATGATGTCATGAACCAATATCAATTGTTTTACTGATGTGCTGGTTTATTGTGTGATGAACCAATTATATATAGATATATATATATGTATTCCTCGTGTACTGATGGTTTCAGAGGACTAAGACAAGAAAAATACAGGAAAGTACAACAAAAATACAACTGTATTGCTATATCATATCCTGCAGTGATACTTTTCCTGTAAATAGGAAAAGAATTTGTTTGTACAGTGTTGAAATAATGGTTTCAAGAATTTAGGCTCCAGTATTACTTCACTAAAGATTTTATGCGTTTATTAATACTTTAAACTAGAAATATATTTTACTGTTGTTTTTTATTTGCAAACTTATCTACCTGAGTAAACTGTGAAAATAACCCTGTATACAGTGTGTAAGTGTTTAATGCTGATTCACGTCCTTATGTTACCGTATATATCCTAATGTGCCTTCCACTAAATCAGAAAACTTACAGCACATATTCCAGATAATTAAATTTTAAAAAATAGCCACTGAGCTAAAATTTAAGAAGAAAAAAAATATTTGTGGTTTCCTAAAATAACAGTAATTCAAAGTGGAGAGTGGATATGAAGTGATTTACAAATATCCAAATCCAAATGAAAATGTAATCATTTTACATAGATCTTTTAATGTAAAGAAATAAATGTTTCATTAATAAAGAAGGATTGCAATGCAAAATGATTAAAATGCAGCATTTTCCATCAAAGAAGTTTCTACGAGTAGTTTGAAGATACATTACAATAGATATGATCTAGTCACTCATAGAAGGATTTGTATTGGGATATTTACGGTAACACTTATTTCTAGATACATATCCCATAGTTATGTGGTAGCTGGTGTCTGAGGGAGAGCTATTAAGGAGATCTGTGTGAGGGGGGAGAGTGGCTATACATTGTACTGTTCTGGTTTATATTCATGTGTTATTACCCAGTATTATTGGAGCTTTATTTATATGACTTTTTGCACAAGTTTTTTTTTCGCTCAAGTATAGTGTACATTTTTGAGGATGATGTCAAATAGATTAATGAATAGTAAATAAGGCATCCCCCCCCCCTCAATTATGTAGAAAACCTAGGAATAATAAAGGACAAAACTTATTTGTTGTAAAAATATTCATAGAACAAATACAAATGTTACCTTGTGTAGTATATCAATTAAATTGTCTGTGATGTAATCAAATTTACTCCCAAATAAGTGCATCAAGGGATATACAGTAGTACTGTGGAGACATTTTCAGTGCTTCATATTAATCATAGTCTACATAGTCATGTTAACCTGTTAATTCAGAGTGATACACACATTGCAGTTCGATACAAATGTAGGAATCCTGTCCTGAAGGAGTGACTTGATAAGGAGGTACAAATGTACCCAGTAGTTAACTTATAGAAGTTGTTAAATTATAGAAGTATTCAACATATTTGTAATTTATTTGAAACTTCCATACCAGTATTTTTAAATCATTTTTAGTACTAAAGTATTCTTACCTGTATTAATGTAGTTTCATTATCATTTTGCAGTATTTTGGTAGGTAATATCTGAATAAGCAGGATAAGAATAATCCATTTATAGAATTATAGTACAGTTGCTCCTGCGCTGACCAAGGTCTTTCAAAATTTTCTTGAGTCTTATCACAACTTTTTTCAAAATGAACAAATCTAAACCTATTTCATAAAAAGAGTCATTATTTGTCTAAGATTCCATATTTTTCTTCACACAATTTCACTCAAAGAACCGTTAACTTGTGAAAAAAATTATTGTAAAACAAAATATTTGTACAAGGAAATGTCATTTTATAGAGAGAGTCCCTGAATCTAATCCTTATTAAGGTATTAGATTCTATGGTTGTCAGTAGTATTGTATTGTATTGTACAGAGAAATTTTCACAAATCATTTTTTTAATTTTAGTTCTGATTCTTAAATAAAATCATCAATTTAGAAATGAATCAATTGTTTATGAAGTGTGTGATGGAGTGTAAATTATTAAAAACGTAGCCAGTAGTCATAGTCGATTCTGTGCTACATTGGCCCTCCTTAATACTTCATTCCCGTCTAAAGTGGCTGGGTTATAAAAAGGCTTGATGGTTAACAAGATAAAAAAATCTTTTTAGTAATCTAGCCTTTGGAATGGATTTAGTGGTGTCTGGATAGTAAAAATATTGGATTAGGTATGGCTTTTTAGTGGCACAACTGTATTGGGAATGGCAGTATAAACCAGGCACAACTTTACAGGGTAATTCAGTAATTTGTGTATAGAATAATCCTGCATTCACTTGTTATCAGACTCCATTACAAGTGTTTTAATATAATAGCTTACTATGAGGGGTATGATAATCTGGGGAACGTTTTACAAGATGGAATAGGATTTAAAATAAAGCAAATATATTCTTGACATACACTGTGTTCAATTTCCATTTACCTAAGCTTCGTTACATATTTATAGAAAATAAATACTAGTTCCCCGAGTGTTCCATTCTCAGCTTTAAGACTAGGAGGAATTTAGTTTTACTTTATTTGAAATATTTAATGTTGTGTTGAATTTTCATTATATTCCGTGAGAACCATGTAAGTAACACTGCCATAAGAATAACCCTGTGTACAGTGTGGTATGGGCCATGCTGGTGTATGATCCCTGTGTGTACAGTGTGGTATGGGCCATGCTGGTGTGTGATCCCTGTGTGTACAGTGTGGTATGGGCCATGCTGGTGTATGATCCCTGTGTGTACAGTGTGGTATGGGCCATGCTGGTGTATCAGCCCTGTGTGTACAGTGTGGTATGGGCCATTGCTTCAACACTGAGTCGCGGTCACCGAAACGCTTGAAAGGGGCTCTCGAGGGGGGATTTCTGCGCATCGAATTCACGCCGGGTAACAGTTCTCTCTGACCGGGAAAACAGTTTTGACTGTTTTACTCCTACAGCCGAAATTGGACAAAAAGCCAGAAACAGTCAAAAATGACTAATTATAATTTATATAGACTATTGGGTAATAATGTGGTATGGGCCATGCTGGTGTATCAGCCCTGTGTGTACAGTGTGGTATGGGCCATGCTGGTGTATGATCCCTGTGTGTACAGTGTGGTATGGGCCATGCTGGAGTATCAGCCATGAATGTACAGTGTGGTATGGGCCATGCTGGAGTATCAGCCCTGTGTGTAGTGTGGTATGGACCATGCTGGTGTATGATCCCTGTGTGTACAGTGTGGTATGGGCCATGCTGGTGTATCAGCCCTGTGTGTACAGTGTGGTGTGGGCCATGCTGGTGTATCCGCCCTGTTGTTTTGTGAGAGAGCTGTCAGGTGCTACACTTTGTCCCTTCCTTGGTATAAAGTGCCTATATTCATATTAATATTGTGTGTACACTGTTAACATCTAAAAATTTGTCAACATTTCAAATAGTTTTCACAACTTCTACTGAAGATCAGTTAACCTTTCCTATTAGTTTAGTAGACCATAACAGAGAATGTAGGTAGGATTATTTTGATGTTTTGATCATGGTGAAGTGTGGTTAAAGGTGGGAAAATTTGTATGAGCAACGCAGAGAGAGTAAACACATCATTGATTTATAAACAAAAGCCACATTTATAGTATATTGATATGATTGAATGCATTTAAATTAACATTCATATTCTGCACCCTAAGTTCAACTCTTTTTTTATTATATGGCACGGGTTGGGGTTATTTACTGCTTACCCATATTTACATTGTTTGTAATTTCCAATGTAAAATAAGAACATTCTCCCATCAGATTCCCTATTTTATTGCATCTAACTAAGGATATGAAACTTATGTTGTAAGGTTATTGATTATAAATATCATATTATTGTAGTGTTTATTTTATAAATTGTTTGTATTGTCATGTGAAAGAGTAACGATTTATCATCGCCGGGTAAAAGGTTGTTTTAATACTGTCGTTATTGCATTGCCAAGCAGTAGTATCATTCTGTGATAATGCCAGTTTATCTAGTCACAACATCCAATACAGTAATTAGGGCCGCTTTTGTTTATCACGATCCAAACGGTTAACCAGAGTTTGTTGTTCATATATGAAATGAGGTTGGACCTAGTAATCTGATGCTGCTTTCAGGCATGCCTTGACAAAGCCTGCATAAACATTTCAGGTCCGCAAGGATTTATTTCCCCAGAAATATTAAATTTTAAAAAAGACAAACCGGTTGTTCCGCCTAAATGTAAAGGGCCCTATGTGTCACAACCACATAGTTAATATATGGTTGTAACACAAAGTCATTGATGCCAATCACAGAATATAGATAATATATATTTACAGTATTACACAAAAATTACATGTGTTCATTTAGTCGAGCCAAATGGAACTTTTGAAAACTGATCATGAACTTTGTAAGTAAATTGAAAACTTTTATATAAATTAAATAGAAAAAAATGAATACAAATTTCGTAAGTGAACATTTGAGAGCCTGAAAAATGTAGTTTGAAGTGTGATTTTTATTTGTTTATTTTTATGTCATTATCTGGTAGGAAAATGACATGTTAATGGCATGGAACCATGTTTATTTCTCTGCTTAAAAGTCTCAAATGTTAATTTCTTCTTGAAAATAGGTTGGCATAGAAATTAAAATGAAGTATACTTGTTAAATTGGCAAAGCTAACTATTTAACAGACCATGACAAAGAAGAATTAGAGTTGATTAAGTATAAAGTACAGATTTGTATTAAATACTAATGTTGAGCAGTCAAAGTGTGTTGTTAGATAGGTGTTACAATGCTGACAAAATTTTACTATTATCTCTTTTTGGTACAAAAAAGTCGTTTCTCTTTCTTTTTATTTTACATGTGATATTAAGAAGTAAATTGGATGATATTGGTTTTGAACTCTGAATTGTCAAAAATTCAACTTTTCATTTTCAAATGTCTACATCATAAAATGATCAGTATATATGTTTTCTTTTCTAGGATTCATCCTCCCTCTTTTGGTGGCCTTCAAATTCTAAATTTTAATCATGGGACTCGGATACATTCCATAAAGCATTATCTCCCTTTGTTTAGTTTTCATGTCTCCTGTAAAATATTCCGTACAACGTCCATTGCTTGGATAACGGAATGTAAAAAATAAAATTTTATGAAAAATTGCTTTTTGGTTGATATTATTTATTGCATCATTTACTATTGGTTTAAAACCAAGAAACGTTTGTGTTCTGAAAGTTTTTTATTAATCAACAAAATTTCAGTGCATAAAAATTGAAATGTATCTGAATATAACGCAAATATGAACTATACAAGTTAAGGTATTACCTTAATGACAGTTCACCGGGTTATGTGATGTTCAAGTGCTAGAAATGATTGACCATCCTCATTAAAAAATATTGTATATAAAAAAAATCTCTGACGTGAACCCCGCTGATACCACCGGTCCTAGTAGAGTAGCAGTGCTCGATTGATTTGTTTGCTAGTTTAAGAGAGTAAGGGGCCAACCAATCCAAACACCTGTGAAGTGATGTTATGACGAATTGTCTCATCAATTCATGACATGATGCTGGACATTCAACACTTTGAGTTCTCCTTCTTGATAAATCACACATTTCGTACACAATAGTGATGGAATAAACAGGTTTGAATAACATTTATGATAATATTTGCCATATATTTCTTGTCTGTAATGATGTCCCTTTTATCCTACCGTTCATACGGAATTTCAGTGGAATGAAAACCAATCGCAATATATATACAAAACAACAAAAGAGAATCGTTCACAGTGTGTTAACTGTAGGAATTCCACAATGTAATGGATCCTTCATTTATCCAAGAGGTTCGGAAAACGCTTCCAAATTGCCAAGATCCATTCCGGTCCACGCAATCGTGTACTTAAACAATGTATTGTCATTGTTTACTCGTCCATGTAGACAACTGTTTACGGTCCGTTTACACCACTAACATTTATGAGGAGCCATAACGGTATGCAAAGTAACGTTAAAGGCACGTATTCAAATGAATAACTACGGTAGCTCTATACCTGAACACTTTACGGTTCGTCTTAAACAACATGTATGCCACCTTTTCGGTCCGTTTGATACTGAAACTTGCTGGTCTGTTATCGAGCACGATCTACGCCTCGTCGTCATCGTCACTGGAGTCGGCAAGTGCCGCGCGCACTCCTTTCGTCCTCATTTTCCAGCGCCTCTTTATCTGAGCGTCCGTCAGTTCTATAGTTGCGTTTTCTAGTTTCAGGTGTTCACACTTTTTACAGAATTCACTCATTCTGTCTTTAATTGGTCGCTTCCTTACTTTCCCCATGTTACCAACCATTCTGCCGACACTGGCAAAGGACGGCAATTGTCTGACAGTCGGTGACAGGGAAGACATCCCATTGCTGCTACCAAGGTTTTGCGGTACAAGTAGTTGATTCACGTCACCAAGACCGCTTGAATCCAGAAGATGAGAATATGTTTTTGCAGTTCTTTCTCTCTGTTCTTTTCGATCTGCCATCCATTGGTGGAATTCGTTCCTTCTACGTACAAGAGGATCTTCACGTTTCAATTGAATCCGCGCCAGAGCAACTTTGTCCTTGTCACTTTTCTGTTCTTGCATCCAGGCCATGAACGACTTTTTTCTGCCATCACTCCGGAACAGCTCGTTATCCGAGTCGTGCTCCGACTGTGAGTCACTGCTGGCACATGTATTATCCTCAGTCTTACTTGTCACGGCTGCGATCTGGAGGTAAATAGACTTCTTCCTGTCCAGAGAAGGCAGGCTTTCTTTCATGACACTCTTGATTTCACCCACAGCCGCCGATTCGTCCTGATTTGGTAGCTCTGACAGCGTTATTTGCGTGGTTGGTGGGAGCATCATAGATTTACGGGACTGGTTGTAGTTTGGTGTCTTCACCGGGATGGGTGTTGGATGATGTTCGCTGTCTGACTCCTGGTCAGAGTCTCCGGGGGCCGTGCGATGACGCCTTGGACCTTGACGGGTTGGTTTCTTAGGATCCCTTCCGAGGTACCTGTTTAGTAGAAGGAAAGACATTGATGATCTCGGTCTAGTTCATCTTCATTAATTCTTAGAATTGTATTGAATTTCTAATGTTGGGAATGCATATAAGGTCCATGTTCGATATTTACAGATTTGCCGAATCCCAAAATGTCGCATTACTGAATCAAATGGTCTCGTTCGAACTCCAAACTAAAGGTATCTAGGTGATCACTTGTGTTCAAAAGTTCAACATTTGCTTATCTTACGAAAATCTTAAAGATTGATTGGAATACTAAAACCTAAGATTGCGTCGACACGTTGTAATTTGTATGGTCAATTTTCTTCCAGAACTGTTTTTTGAGTGGCCGTTGTAATGTAACGTTGTATAACTATAGTTGATTGTATTGCTATTCACGGTTTCAATACAAACGTTAATACAACGAAATGTTCATGTCATGAGTAAATTCTGATGTGTGATTAAGTTATCCAGAACATGTGATTTACAATGGCTTGAAATGATAAGGACTGCTGATACTTACTGGATGGCTGCAGGGTGCGAGTCGGACTCGATCTGTAAGATATGTTTCATGAAGTCGTGGGTATCAAATCTGTCGCGATCTAAGTGTGCGATGCTGTAGGTGTGCTCTCTCTTATAATGGACTAGCTTCTTCTTCAGGTATAAGTCTTCAAGGTTGTTTTTGTTGTTCAGGGTTTTGAGGCCACGCCCCGAGGTCCCGACCCCAATCACATTCAGCGTCCTATACTCTGAATTATCCATGGTAACAGGTCAAGGTCACACGTTACACTTAGTACAGAAAGGTTTCTAAGGTTACCAGTCTGTCAGAATCTTATATTTTCTTTCTCCTGTTGGAATCCATATTGAAGTTGTGTTTTTATCAGTTCTTTTTGATGTTTACATATTAAACGATATCAGCGAAGACAGATGTTTCCAAGCTTTTTTTTTTAAAATCTACTTTTAATCCATGGTCACGATGGAAAGGCGATACGACAATGTCCTGGTATGAGGTTCGGATAGAAAAACATAGTTTCAAAAAACTTAACTACTTACTGTACGAAAAAGGTCTCCCAAGAATGGTTTTTCCTGTGTTAAGTGATTACACGCAAACACAACACTATAAACAAAACACTTCCAGTATCCAACTGTTGCTAGTATATCTGATTCACAATAAAACAGACTCGGAGAAAAAAGGTCCAAACCTCCATCAGAACGTAGACAATCATTAGACAGCGGACAGCACTAATGAAGAAGAAAACAGACGGGTCAGATTGTCTATGTTGTGACGAAACCATCTGAGATTGTTCAAATCATATATACAGAGGTCAACCAGGGGTACCAGCTTATATCACACGGGTATACACAGCACACAGCCGTTGCCAAATACTCTTATTAATAACTAGAGATTAAATGGTATGTCTTCAAGAAGCCATGCATTGTAGTTGAGTGAAGTAATTAATGTAGGGGATTATTGACCAGAGCAACAGACCTGTCGGGTATTACAGTATATGGCGAGTACTCGTTAGAGACTAATTCTTCACCAATCCACCGATAATCTGTAATCCGTTAATCCAATTACGGGAGCAGTTACGTACTCCGGTATAACGCGGTAAGACATGAGGCGAGTGTCGGATTAGGGCTCTGGTGTACATTTGTACACTGTTTTGGGCTCTGGTGTACATTTGTACACTGTTTTTTAAAAGAGTGATCATGTTTTAGCACCCAAGCGGTAGACTACGTTTTGAGTGTTGGGACCATTATCATATCATATCTGTAGGGTTGGGACCATTATCATACCATATATGTAGGGTTGGGACGAAGTTTTCCCCACTTTTCATAAGTGTGACTGAGTAATCACTAAATAAAGTATTCTATAACATAGATTATTTAGTATAGTCATTACAATGGAATCTTTGAGGAAGGCAGAAACGAATTCAATCAGAGTGGAATTGGTGTCGATGTCAAAACTAAATATTTTATTTCATATCGATTCGGATGGGTGTTTTTTTTCTCGATTTGATATATGTTGTTTGTCTACCAGGATTTCATATATGTTGTTTGTCTACCGAGATTTGATGTATGTTGTTTGTCTACCGAGATTTCATATATGTTGTTTGTCTACCGAGATTTCATATATGTTGATTGTCTACCGAGATTTCATATATGTTGTTTGTCTACCGAGATTTCATATATGTTGTTTGTCTACCGAGATTTGACTGCATTTAGGATACAATCCATCAATTTAGTATTATATTGTCCATCATTTCATTATATGTTTTTAATCAACAAAATCAAAGTTAAAAATAAATGAAATCAGAAAGAAAAAAAAGAAAAAACAACAAATATAAACAAAACACAAAATAACAAAATACAAGAATGATAAAAAAAATTGAATAACAAGAAAAAACAACATATGTATAAGTAATTATACATCATATAGAAAACACTGCAAATCGACGTTTCTGCTTTTCAAGTTAAACAAGAAAAACGGGGATAACACAAAAAAACAATATAGGAACACGAAGTAAAAGGAAAAAGAAAAGAAATTTAACTGAAAGGCCAACAAAGAACAAGAGGGAAACCATCCAAATAAATAAAGGGTTAACAGACTGGATAAAAGTCTTCCATCAAATCTGAGAAAGTGTTAAACCAGCGATGAAAAACACAACAGGCAATGAAATCCCTCAGGTAAAAATATCGGATCATGATGGCGACCATATGTCTTCTTCAGCACCTTTTGGAAACCTGCTATGCTATTGCTATGAAATGAAACAATATATTATTTGCATGGGTGCTGATATCTTGCTACTGATGAGTGGAAAGATACTTAACAGGAAAGGCTGACATGGTGTTGCTGAGGAGCGGAACAATACGCTGTGGGCAGGAGTTGTTTGTCTGTTACTACTAAGTAATAGAAATATGTTGCTGCCAGGAAATGGAAATAAACGACGTAGAAAGGGGAGGCTGATATATTACTATCAGGGAATGGAATCATACGCCGTATGAAAGGGGGCCGATGTATTACTATCGGGGAATGAACATTATATACCGTTGGCAAAGAAGGCTGATATGTTACAGCAAAGGGCTGGAAATATACACCGTATGCATGGGATTATTAAGTCTGATAGTGATAACTGTTGTGTTACTTCAGCGGAAATAAAATTTGAAACAAAGGTCTTGCAGTCGTAAAATTTGGTAGTGAGGTGAGCATAGTTATTCTATAGTAAGTAAATGTCATAGAGTCTGGGAGTGAGGTTACCATAGTTATTGTATAGTAAGTAGTCTGGGAGTGAGGTGACCATAGTTATTCTATAGTAAGTTAAATGTCATAGAGTTTGGGAGTGAGGTGACTATGGTTATTCTATAGTAAGTAAATGTCATAGAGTTTGGGAGTGAGGTGACTATAGTTATTCTATAGTAAGTAAATGTCATAGAGTTTGGGAGTGAGGTGACTATAGTTATTCTATAGTAAGTAAATGTCATAGAGTTTGGGAGTGAGGTGACTATAGTTATTCTATAGTAAGTAAATGTCATAGAGTTTGGGAGTGAGGTGACTATAGTTATTCTATAGTAAGTAAATGTCATAGAGTTTGGGAGTGAGGTGACTATAGTTATTCTATAGTAAGTAAATGTCATAGAGTTTGGGAGTGAGGTGACTATAGTTATTCTATAGTAAGTAAATGTCATAGAGTTTGGGAGTGAGGTGACTATAGTTATTCTATAGTAAGTAAATGTCATAGAGTTTGGGAGTGAGGTGACTATAGTTATTCTATAGTAAGTAAATGTCATAGAGTCTGGGAGTGAGGTGACTATAGTTATTCTATAGTAAGTAAATGTCATAGAGTTTGGGAGTGAGGTGACTATAGTTATTCTATAGTAAGTAAATGTCATAGAGTTTGGGAGTGAGGTGACTATAGTTATTCTATAGTAAGTAAATGTCATAGAGTTTGGGAGTGAGGTGACTATAGTTATTCTATAGTAAGTAAATGTCATAGAGTTTGGGAGTGAGGTGACTATAGTTATTCTATAGTAAGTAAATGTCATAGAGTTTGGGAGTGAGGTGACTATAGTTATTCTATAGTAAGTAAATGTCATAGAGTTTGGGAGTGAGGTGACTATAGTTATTCTATAGTAAGTAAATGTCATAGAGTTTGGGAGTGAGGTGACTATAGTTATTCTATAGTAAGTAAATGTCATAGAGTTTGGGAGTGAGGTGACTATAGTTATTCTATAGTAAGTAAATGTCATAGAGTTTGGGAGTGAGGTGACTATAGTTATTCTATAGTAAGTAAATGTCATAGAGTTTGGGAGTGAGGTGACTATAGTTATTCTATAGTAAGTAAATGTCATAGAGTTTGGGAGTGAGGTGACTATAGTTATTCTATAGTAAGTAAATGTCATAGAGTTTGGGAGTGAGGTGACCATAGTTATTCTATAGTAAGTAAATGTCATAGAGTTTGGGAGTGAGGTGACCATAGTTATTCTATAGTAAGTAAATGTCATAGAGTCTGGGAGTGAGGTGACCATAGTTATTCTATAGTAAGTAAATGTCAAGAGTTTGGGAGTGAGATGACTTAAGATATTCTATAGTAAGTAAATGTCATAGAGTCTGGGAGTGAGGTGACCATAGTTATTCTATAGTAAGTAAATGTCAAGAGTTTGGGAGTGAGATGACTTAAGATATTCTATAGTAAGTAAATGTCATAGAGTCTGGGAGTGAGGTGACCATAGTTATTCTATAGTAAGTAAATGTCAAGAGTTTGGGAGTGAGATGACTTAAGATATTCTATAGTAAGTAAATGTCATAGAGTCTGGGAGTGAGGTGACCATAGTTATTCTATAGTAAGTAAATGTCAAGAGTTTGGGAGTGAGATGACTTAAGATATTCTATAGTAAGTAAATGTCATAGAGTTTGGGAGTTAGGTGACCATAGCTATCCTTTAGTAAGTAAATGTCATAGAGTTTGGGAGTGAGGTAAGCATAGTTATTATATAGTAAGTAAATGTCAAGAGTTTGGGAGTGAGGTGACCATAGTTATTCTATAGTAAGTAAATGTCATAGAGTCTGGGAGTGAGGTGACCATAGTTATTCTATAGTAAGTAAATGTCAAGAGTTTGGGAGTGAGATGACTTAAGATATTCTATAGTAAGTAAATGTCATAGAGTCTGGGAGTGAGGTGACCATAGTTATTCTATAGTAAGTAAATGTCAAGAGTTTGGGAGTGAGATGACTTAAGATATTCTATAGTAAGTAAATGTCATAGAGTTTGGGAGTTAGGTGACCATAGCTATCCTTTAGTAAGTAAATGTCATAGAGTTTGGGAGTGAGGTAAGCATAGTTATTATATAGTAAGTAAATGTCAAGAGTTTGGGAGTGAGGTGACCATAGTCAATCTATAGTAAGTAAATGTCATAGAGTCTGGGAGTGAGGTGACCATAGTTATTCTATAGTAAGTAAAATTCATAGAGTTTGGGAGTGAGGTGACCATAGTCAATCTATAGTAAGTAAATGTCATAGAGTTTGGGTGTGAGGTAAGCATAGTTATTATATCGTAAGTAAATGTCAAGAGTTTGGAAGTGAGGTAAGCTTAGTTATTATATAGTAAGTAAATGTCAAGAGTTTGGGAGTGAGATGACTGAAGTTATTCTATAGTAAGTTAATGTCATAGAGTTTGGGAGTGAGTTGACCATAGTTATTCTATAGTAAGTAAATGTCATAGAGTCTTGGAGTGAGGTGACTTAAGATATTCTATAATAAGTAAATGTCATAGAGTTTGGGAGTGAGGTGACTTAAGTTATTCTATAGTAAGTAAAATTCATAGAGTTTGGGAGTGAGGTGACTTAAGTTATTCTATAGTAAGTAAATGTCAAGAGTTTGGAAGTGAGGTAAGCATAGTTATTATATAGTAAGTAAATGTCAAGAGTTTGGGGGTTTGGGAGTGAGGTGACCATAGTTATTATACAGTAAGTAAATGTCAAGAGTTTGGGAGTGAGGTGACCATAGTTATTATATAGTAAGTAAATGTCAAGAGTTTGGGAGTGAGGTGATTATTACTGTTTCACTGTAAATTTGGTAGGGACATAACTATGTTAATGGTAAAAGTAAAATATCAAAGAAATCTGAAATATGTATATCATTTAGTGATGAAAGTTAAATGTTAAATGTAGGAGAGAACAGTTTTCCTGCTGAATGCCTATTGGCATAGATAGTTGCTTTAATGTAATATAAAACAAAAGCATACCGTAGAGTCAATACACGAGGATAAATTCCAATATGACCAACGGTGCGAGAATA